TGGGATGCTGAAGACCAATTCTAACTCGGATCCCATATATACCTGTTTACAAGGATGTGCCAAACTGGATGTGCAGAACTCCTGGTTGTCTTCAACTCAAAATATAGCCTCATCATCACGATATGTCATGTGATATTATGACGATCCAGTGACATATGAAAACTAACGCATGATGTTGAGTGTTTACTTTTTGTTGGTTGGGACAGCCAGGTGTTCGAGAAAGGATGGAGACGGCACAGCACAGGTCAATGAATCAATAACGTTGTCGGTACTTGTGCACGTGCTTCTCTAACACCTGGCTGTCCCTTCCCTCTGTACTCCTTCCTCATAACAAATAGTGAACTGTGTCAATATTTTAATGATAGTTTGTTAAACAACTTTTTTATTTTTAGGACATAAATTCTGCAAACAAATCACAGAGTTGGTCTGATGTTTTGATTATGATCAGCATTTCATTGAGTATTATATGTTTATTAGTTATCGAGTTAGATTGCAATTCATCGGTCCGCTTTTGAGCCAAACGCACTATATAGCTAAATATCGATCATTAGTTGGTTGGTTGATTGGTTGATTGGTTTGTTGTTAAAACCACACTCAGCAATATTCCAGCTATATGGTGACGGTTTGTAAATAATCGAGTCTGGACTAGACAATCCAGTGATCAACAGCATGCGCATCAATCTACGCAATTGGGAACCGATGACATGTGTCAACCAAGCCAGCGAGCCTGACCACCCGATCTTGTTAGTTGCCTCTTACGACAAGCATGGGTTGCTGAAGACCAATCCTAACCCGGATCTTCACGGGTCAAATATCAATTGATTAATGATAAATATCAGGGATGCAACTTTGAGCAGAGATGCCAAAAATATCTGAAAGAAATGAATATATTTCACATCACCGGTGAGTGGTGACATGTTTTTGCATGGATTATCAACAAAACAGCATCCTGAACATAACTTAGAAACAGACCATGAATAAAGTCCTAAACTTGTATATTGTGTGAGAAAAGAAAAAAACTTTTTTCTATCTCAAAAGTTTATGTAGAATATTATTGATCACTTAATTGTATATCAGTGTATGAAATGAGGCCCGTCCGACCGCTCGAGACGGTCTAGATATCTGACGGATGGTCTGAAATTACAGCCAGCCAGCCTGATTGTCTGGTAAAAACTGTAGATGCTTCATACAGCTGAGTAAATTCACCAGATCTTGGTGTCTGGTCTAAATCCATTTTGGGCTGGTAGCATTTTGAAGTTACCAGCCCTGATGTCTGGTAACTTTTGGCTTATTTCATACACTTCATATAGGTAATCATTAATAATCTTTTCTATTGACGACAAACAGATTAATGATTTCATACTCCCAGGCCAAATGTAGAAATAGCATCAAAATCGGGTAATATGACACACCCGGCCTTATCTCCCATGCAGCATATCTTGACCATGTTTAACAATATAAGTTGCTCACTGGTCACGGGGGGCATGGGTTGATGTACCCTCGATGTTTGTTTATGTTCCCTCTCGAAGGGCTTCAAACAACGTATTTATCTTACCGAACACCTTAATGTTAATTTTGAAATGTTTGAAGCACGGGTAAAAATCTTTTGTAGCCATCGCTAGATTTTGCTGACAAGAAAAACAGATTTAGAGTTATCTCCCTTCCATCGATATGTATTCACAAAACATTGGTAATTTCCGAACATAATATGTGATTCAATGTTATTCGAGATAACGAATTACTACCACGAAGTACCAAATGAGTTGCCATTGACAGCGGGGTACATTGAAATGTTAATCGCTTGTAAGCGGGGTATATTGAAACAGGGAGACTATATAAGGTAGAGTATCCCTGGGTAAAGAAAGCAAGCGAGTGACCTATCCCTGTTGTAGAGTATCCCTGATTGAAAATAATAGAAGAGCGCTCAGCCAATGAGAAAGCGACATTTATGTGTGAGGTTAGATAATAGTTCTTGTCACCGTCCATTAGTCCATGTGGTTAATTAATAATACTCATGCAGTTGGTCTATGAACATGTGGGCTCAGTTTCAACAGTGGGGTAAACCTTGTTTGTGTTTAATAACCTGATACATTCTGTGGCTAGTGACCCGTGAAGATCCGGGGTAGAACAGGTCTTCAGCAACCCAGGCTTGCCACAAAAGGCGACTATGCTTGTCGTAAGAGGCGACTAACGGGATCGGGTGGTCAGGCTTACTGACTTGGTTGACACATGTCATCGGTTCCCAATTGTGCAGATCGATGCTCATGCTGTTGATCGCTGGATTGTCTGGTCAAGACTCGATTATTTACAGACCGCCGCCATAAAGCTTGAATATTGCTGAGTGTGGCGTAAAACTAAACTCACTCACTCTGTGGCTAGTTCCATAACAACAAGAATGTTTGGAGGATGGGAGCTGTCATACTAATTACTGGATAACACTTTTACTGCTGCTGAGAGATCCTAAAGTAAGGAACTTTCCAGCATTTGGCCTGGGACTATTCACAAAATTAACAACAATGGGAATCTTTGTGTATAAAAAGCAAGGAACATACTACTGGAAAATGTACCGTTGTCCTTCCTCTCAGGGGTCACCTTACTCCACACCACCTTCGTCGCTGGAAAGAACAAAAAGACATGTACAACCTTATGTAACAACAGAATTATAAAGGGTAGAATTATTTAACATTATCACATACCTGTGACTACTTTCGGTTTGTTTAGTTACTTTTTTTTTTGCTTGTATATTTTATGCACTCAGCAATATTCCAGCTATATGGCGGAAGTCTGTAAATAATCAAGTCTGGACCAGACAATCCCGTGATCAATGTACACAATTGGGATACAATAACATGTGTCAACCACCTGATCTCGATAGTCGCCTCTTACGACAAGCATGGGTTACTGAAGACCAATTCTAACCCGGACCTTCACGGGTCTTGTAAATAGTTGAGTCTTGACTAAACAATCCAGTGAGAGAGTGAGTGAGTTTAGTTTTACGCCGCACACAGCAATTTTCCAGCTTTATGGCGGCAGTCTGTAAATAGTCGAGTCTGGTCCAGACAATCCAGTGATCAACAGCATGAGCATCAATCTGCGCAATTGGGATACGATTACATGAGTGCAGAGTAGCCTGGTGGACAAAGCGTTGGCCTAATAGTTGGTACTAAGAATCCGGGTTTTATTCCAATTATGGACACACTATGAGTGAGTGAGTTTGGTTTTACGCCGCTTTCAGCAATATTCCCGCAATATCACGACAGGGAACACCAGAAATGGGCTTCACATATTGTACCCATGTGGGGAATCGAACCCAGGTTTTCGGCGTGACGAGCGAACGCTTTAACCACTAGGCTATCCCACCGCTCGTACTCACAATGAGACATATTTGGGACTTTTGGTTGTATAGTTTCCACACGGGGACCGTGCATTTCCTGTTGTTCTTGAGCGAGCGTCTGTTCTTCCAGTTTCGTTTGTCTGTTTTGTACTTTGTACAAACAAACGAACCTAATATCTGAACATTATCAGGAAAAAATGAGACACAAAGGGTATTTTTTTTTTGTAGGTCGTTAAAATTTGACACATCGACTATAATACTTTTATCAGTGTGATGATGATTTGCGATTACCACGGTCCGTACAGAGTTACCTCCCCTTAATGTACACCCATTCAGGATGATGTACGGTTCTCATCATTCTACTGTGCTCGGAGCTGAAAATTACTCTAACCGAGATGTCAGGTGAAAGGACAACAACATAGGCATTGTTGTCTCAAACAAGTTTGGTGTCCAGCCACTTCAGAGAGCTGTGTCAAAATAACTGACTGTTGTAGTGTTGAACAGACAGACAGACAGACAGACAGACAGACATATTTATTCAGTAATGTGGGCCTAACGGCCTATAAATTTTTTAAAAATACAAGGGTTGAACAACCTTATGTGACCCGTCCCTACAATCAAACCCTGGGAGAAATTGATAGGCGTATCCAGATAATAATGTTGTGTTAGTATCGGTGTGGCCATTCTCTCCATGAGTTGATCAGTTAGTTCAGAGCTTGCCAGGTGCTGTGGGGTTTGTTAAATGGTTGAAACGTTGGCTGTCACGAAGAAGACCCGGGTTCGAATCCCCACATGGTGTACAACTCCCCTTTCTCAAAAGCTGGTGTCCGCCGCCGTGATGTTACAGATAATAATGTTGCATAGTATCGCACAGCCATTCGCTCCATGAGTTGATCAGTTAGTTCAGAGCTGGCCAACACAAGTTGAAAACCACGCGTCGCTGTACCAAATGCAGAGTAGGTCTCCATATGATAGATGCTTTGTACAGTTCCATACAAAGTAACAAAGCTTTGTCCAAATATGCAGTTTAAATGAATTCTCTCAAGCTACCAGAAAAGGACTTTTGTTCGTTTGTTTAGTTCAATAGCAAGTCCAAATAATGATTTACCTTCAACTGTCAGTTCACTTCAATAAAAGTTCATCTTCTCATCTAGCTTTATTCCTATCTGTGTTTTGTATTTCGTACCCACTGCCCTATTAATTGGTCGGGACAATGTTCGGTATTTCGTGCCCACAACCTGTCCCATTAATGGAACTGTACAATTCTCTCCGCCACATGACAATAGTATTAACTTACAATAAGACTTGATTATGTTCATATCATTTGAAAACGTAACTGATCATAACAAATTTACTCCGAAAAACAATTTGGGCATTAATGGGTTAAGTGCTCGGAGATTTCACAGGGCTATGTATGTAGATTTCTAAGTAGAATATTTTATTCTATTATTCACATATATGATTAAAATCTATAATTTGAAAACAAACCAGGCTTATCTCCCAAGGAAGCAACATGACATTAACATGTAACAATGACACAGCATATTTTTTACACAATTTTACAAAAGCTTCGAAACGAGCTTCTCAACGGGATCGAACAGACTCGAGGAGAATCCCCTTGTGATATAATTTTAGAAACATGACTTTGCGGAATCCAGAACGAGGCTCTGGTGGGTATTTCCAAACTGGAAACCAAACGACGTGAGTCGAGTGTCAATGATTCGGCGTTTAGTTGCAACTATGCCTCCGGTGGTGAAAACGTTCGATTACCTGGTGATCGGTGGGGGTTCTGGGGGTTTGGCGAGCGCCAGACGTGCTGCAGAGTTTGGTGTCAAGGCTGCAATCATCGAGGAGAGCAGATGGGGTGGAACATGTGTAAGTTTGGATATCAATTTCTGATCATTTCAAGTTTAACCAGGCTGCATGCAAACTCAGCAAAGTCATGTCGAAAGCAATGACATTTGCTTTTTGCATTCATGCGTAACACTTTCATAAACAGCCCGGAATATGAAAAGGATCTGTTCTTATCTTGATTGTATGATTCGTTTTAACTGCACTTGTAAACTTCTTCAAGTAACGAAACCATGTCTGATCATTTCAAAATGTACCGGATATACCTACCGGTAAACGTTGTTTGGCCAAGCTGCAAAGTCATGTCGAAAGCAATAACATTTGCTTTTAGCATTCATGCGTGACACATTCGTAAACAGCCCTGAATATGAAAAGGATCTGTCATTATCTTGACTGTATGATATTTTCAATGGCACAAACTTCTTAATTCAAGAAACAACCATTCTCAAGTCAAGTTATTATACTGCATAGATTAAGTTAAGTTAGATTTAGATATAAATTATGTGTGGTAATTTTGTCACTGTAGATATTATATACAATTGAAATGCCCATTTTCTTTTTTTCATGTTGACTGTATTCTTGTCATTCTTCTAGTTGATTGTCCCGTTTGACTTTTTCAGTTTTGGCCCTTTTGACCTGTTCCTGTTGATAGAACCACTTGTTGTGGCTCAAAACTAGCCTTGCTCCTAGGCTGTACTGAAAACTAAACCCATGGATGTATAGTAATTCTGTAAGACTGTACTAAGCAATGACAACTGACATGCATTCTTACTTGGTTACCACTGAGGGTTCATTTGAAGATGAGGGGGCACATGAGAATGACGTCAATACAGTGTGACGTAATGCAAAAAGTGTACTTTATTGCTTGATAAAGTACAGTCAGTGCTTTTGATCTTTTAGCGAAGCATCTTAGAATAGTGAGTAAGTGTTGTGTTTTTCAGGTGAATGTCGGCTGTGTTCCCAAGAAGATTATGTACAACACGGCCATGCATGCCGAGTTCATCCGTGAACATGAGGAGTACGGCTTCTCTGTGGAGCTGAAGAAGTTTGACTGGAGGTAATAAAAACACTGTGGTGAAATCATCAGCTAAGTGGGCGAGCAGTCTAAGGCGCCTGGCTAGTGATCCAGTGAGCTTGAGATGCCAGGATCGAGCCCACCTGTGACCGGGTGTAAAAACCGTGGAGTCAACTTTGTGTGCTGACTCTTTCAGTGTTGTCACAACCTCTAGTGTACAGTACACAACCCTGTGCACTTATAAGAAACCACGAATCCGTTGCTATATGACCAGATGGTGGCCTGATGAATACGTGCAAACACCTAGTTGCCAGTACAGCAACGTGCAGTAAGCTTGGACAAAGTACTGTGACTATGTGTCCTTTGAAAATTCCTGGATCCGCCAATGGAATTAGTACCTCGTAAGGATGGGAAAGCCGCATCAACTCAGTGCGCCTAGTGGCTGCAAGAGTTGTATACTCCCCAGGGAGTTGAAATTGATATACGATGTGCTATTTGTGATTGACATCCAGTGATCGAGGGAAAAACAAAGCTCCTTTGAGCAGCTGAGCTGGATATTGGCGCTATGCAAATATTAGTATAATAATCTCCAGGACTCCTCTTCAGTAAACCTACACTAGCTAATGCATCTGTTCTCCTGGTTCAATAACCTGCAAACGATTCATAGTGTGCCAGATTTGTCTGGACCAGTGTGTCATGGTCTGTGAGACCATTCTTGCATTTTCTAAATTAATCTGGTTACCATGGAAGTTTGTGGAAAGATGAATGGCACATTTAATTGTTGCTTGTTGTTTTATGTCCTTCCTTCCTTTATTGCTTGCATCAAAGATAAATACACAAAACCAATTAGAAAGTCTCTCCAGGGATTCGAACCCATACTCTCAGAGTCAGGCACCTGAATCGCCAGCACAGAAGTCAGAGGTCAAACCCACTCAGCCACCGAGGCTTCCACAAAATGGAAATCTTAAAATTATAAAGTACTAAAATCTTCACTTTACTGAGTGAGTGAGTTTAGTTTTACGCCACACTCAGCAATATTCCAGCTATATTGCGGCGGTCTGTAAATAATTGAGTTGGGACCAGAAAATCCGGTGATCAACAGCATGATCATGAGTATAATTGGGAACCAATAACATGTGTCTGCAAGCCTGACCACCCGATCTTGTGGGTCGCCTCTTATGACAAGCATGGGTTACTGAAGATCAATATTCTAACCCGACCTTCACAGGTCTCACTTTACTGAGAAAGTGTAATCCCAAACATAACATGAATTACATTTTATCACTATCTAAATGGTATTGTGTATTCATAACTTTTGACTGTCAGGGGCGTGACAATTTACACTTGTCTGAGGGGTACACAATGTAAGAGATCCAAAGTACCAGTTGTCAGAATTCCATTTTTTGTGGAAAGAGAGTGTGGATGAGAATACCAGATGGGACTAAACCTCCAAAAGTTCTAGAATCTATACCTTACTGAGAAAGTGTAATCCCAAATATAACATATGTTATGTTTGACCTCTCAATGTTTAGATATTCATGTTGAATGTCTTCGGGTTTTAGTGTTGTAAAGAAGTCCCGAGATGTGTACATCAAAATATTCATGTTGAATGTCTTCTGGTTTCAGTGTTGTGAAGAAGTCCCGAGATGCGTACATCAAAATAATCATGTTGAATGTCTTCTGGTTTCAGTGTTGTGAAGAAATCCCGAGATGCGTACATCAAGAGACTTAACGGGATCTATGAAACCAACCTGGATAAGGTGAGACAATATCAACATTGGTGTGTGGCTTTGGTAAATATATGTTATATGTGGAAGTGACTTTGGAGGAAAACCAGTATGATGGAGATTGTAGCAATTTTCCATTGTGAAACACATAAGCACAGACATTACTAGACATTAAGTATGTCAGTGTAGCTCCTGACAGCCTTTGCCAATGATACAGAAAGCATGATGTGAAACCATGCTGCTCAGAGTTTTGGTGACTCTTGTTACTCCTGATGAATTGTGCAAAGGAGAAATTTACGATTTACTTTTTAATCATGAAATTATTAAACATTTGCCTTGCTTAGAATTTCCTTTTTTCAAACGTCTGACTTCATAAACAAACCAGTCGTGTGTCAAATAGATATTTTTTTTGTCTCTGACCTGTGAGCATCCTCAATAATCTCCAGGGTATACGTTACGATCACTCTCCACTATACCCTGGATGCATCCATGGCTTGGGGGGGCGATGATTTTATTACCTCCCTTGGCTGGCTCTGCATTCTCACAGTAGCCAATCAGCTAAGCCGCCGTTACAACCCAGCTTGCCAGTGTCAACAAAGATTGCGGTTGCAGTTGCAAAGGTTTGTTCGCTGTGCCACTCAGATTTTTTGGGAAATAATACAGACAAATTCACAGATCTGAAACTTTAAAAAGAATATATGAAAAAACTCCTTCTACCTCTTTCAGAGTACCTCTGCATCAATTGTGTTGCTAAGTTTAAACGGTTAGATAATTTAAGACGCGAAAGTGAGTAGTGATTGGTACGCTCAACTTCCCAGCGTAGGCACCTGACTGGATAAAAAGCCAGCCAAGGGAGGTAATAAAATCATCGCCCCAAGCTGTAGATGCATCTAGGGTATAGTGGAGAGTGATCGTAACGTATACCCTGGAGATTATCGAGGATGACCTGTGAGAGCTGTCAGAAATTGTGTATTTGATACATCCTCTTGCACTGAAATAGGTCAATTGTATAATTTTCAGTCCAAGGTAGAGAGGATAGTTGGACATGCCTCATTTACAGATGACCGCTGCGTGGAGGTCAATGGTCAAAAGTATTCCGCCACTCACATCCTCATAGCAACTGGTGGACGTCCAGTCTTCCCCGACATACCAGGTACAGACACATACCAACATGCATTTTGATAATTAACTGACAAAACTATAAGTAATCAGCAATATCATAGAGAAACTATATATCTTTTGTAATATCTCATATTTGTTGATTTCTGTTGTAGAATTAACGAGTTATATTTTTTTGAATGTTCATTTCATTGAGATGTGAATGAGTGAGTTAAAATTTAAAGTCATATCAGCAATATTTCAGCCATATTGTGACTCATTGACATGTAACCATGGCAACTGATGTCCTTAGCAACAAAGGCGTCATCCTGCTGTTCTGTGTATTCTCCCCATCAGTGCTACACAATCATTGTGATGAGATAGTAATGGATGTCAAACTTAGGTTTATTAGAAACTGCTCTTTGTTTACCTTTAAAATAGTTTGTTTGTGTTAGTAACCATGGTAACAGCCTCTACGGTTTCAAATGCAGGTGCAGAACATGGCATTTCAAGTGATGGCTTCTTTGACCTTGAAGATTTACCAAAGTAAGAAACTGGTAGTTATTTGTTTAGGGACCAGGGCCCACTTGCACAGAACGATCTTAGCGCTACAATTATTGTAAATCCTTAAGATCGCGATCTTAGGCTTCGGTTACAATCGCCATCTACTTGCACAAAGCAATTGTAGGCTAAGATTATTGTAAGTTACAATCGAAACTTACAATTGGTCCGGACCAATTGTAAGGAGCTAAGATCATTTTCGTCATTTTAGAAATGGCATTCAAATTAGTGTCTGTTTCACGCAAATAATCAGCTTTACGTTTGGAGATTGCATTTATACTGCATAAAACTGACATTTCAACAACACGGAGAATGCACAACTGATTTAATGTCGGATACATTGTTATTTACTGTAGTGAAACACATAACTATCGAGTCGATATCACATAGTACTATTCCCACCCGATTCAATGTTGGAATAAGTGTGAAACAACATACCTTCTTGATAATCAAGGAAAGGATAATAGCGAATGGTGTCCGCGTGCGATTAACAATGGCCGTGACCTTTTCATTAACTCAAGAGCAGATACTTTTACTTTATACCTGCAGTAAGATGGGGAGTGGTTTCCTTGGCATATGCCGCCGTCAGATAGTCTCTCATGCCCAATTGCAGAGCTCAACATACTGATATCTCTATTCGGGTCATGGAGTGATTTTGTCTTAGTTTATCATTAAAGTAATCTACAATTAGATACAAGTTAACGCGCAAAATCAAGTTTCTTTCTCATCCATAAATCTAAATTTGATTATGCAATTTAAATATATACAAGTAGTCATCAAATAGGGATATACACATGATGGGGTATTAAAATTTTCTGTTTCAAAAGAATTTCACTTTAAGAAAAATATTAATTTAACGCAATAGGGTTAAATAATTAATATACTGTGAATACGTGATTTAATAACTACTCTCTTGAAATATTATTTAATGCACGTATTTCCCTGCCAAGCATTCTTTACAACACTTCTGTAGCCATTGTTTTATTGTATTTTATTCTAGGTTATATTTAGGATTTTACCCTCCCCCCCCCAATAGCTGCATATTAAACAACGTCTCATTGACAACCATTGGCAAATCATACATTTAGGTGTTATATCATAAGGAGGAAATACTGTTTATATTTGTTATTTTAAGTTCCATAATTAAGTCACTAAATCTAGATCCAAATTTATTCATGTATTTTTAGATTTCAGTATTTTCATAAAACATGGGTAGGTATTTCTGTGGTTGTAATATCACATTCTCAGTTCATAAATCAAGACAGTTAGAATGTAGAAAATATATGCTATCGTCCACGTGTCGGTTCCTTCTAAGATTTCTGGGACTTTCTCATGAAAATTCTGCAAGGTGCGATTGAGGGAGGTATGTATTGTGTGCTGGGACCAGTATCACTTTTTATTTGCGCAGCATGCTATGTGCACTTTGAGACAACTGTAGACGGGAGTCGAGTTTAAGAAATTTCGTACCTCCACCGTTGAAGAGTTCGATCTTAACTAAGATCGCGATCTTAAATACACGCCGTCTTACAATCGCTCTAAGATCGGCTTTGTGCAAGTGGATTAGGGCAATTGTATGGTGATTGTAAAGTTGATTGTAGGGACCTAAGATTGATTGTAACTAAGATTGCTCTGTGCAAGTGGGCCCAGCTGTTATTAATTCTATAGAGCCTGTAAGTAGGTCATGGCTCTTCCTGAGACCATAGTACTTCCGGTGACAAACACCGTTTCATACCTTTTTGAATGATCTCATGTTTTTCAGTTGAACCGATAATCCTTGCAGGAATAATAAATTTCTGATCTAACCATCCCCAGATTAGCCAGCTATTATGACTGTCAACAGCTGTGACAGCCAAGCATGGTTGTACACTTGATCCGGTAATGTGCTGTGCCTTGATTGTTAGCGCTATGAGCATACCTAGTGTGGAGTTGGGCGCTATATAAATGGACACATTATTATTATTATTATTATTATCTTCTTATAAGTGGTAACTGTGGTGTAGTAGTTAGAGCCCCTGCCCGGAGAGCGGAAGGTCTCGGGTTTGATCCCTGGTCACGTCATACCAAAAAACGTTAAAATATGGTACTTGTTGGTTCCTGCCTGGCGCTCAACATTAATGGGTACATCAAATACTGGTCGGCTCGGAGTCAGTATAATATGTCTGAGTGGGGTATTCATGCTTAACTGAGGCATGGTATCTCAGTGGGCTAGCACTATAAAACCAGCCTAAGTCTGGGCTAGTACAAGCAGCCACTCATACACACGCATGCACGCCGTCATATGAGTGAAATAATGTTAAGTATGACGTTAAACCCCATTTCATTTCACCTCACCTCACCTCACCTCCTATAAGCGGTCTTCTTGTAACTTGAGATGTTTCATGAGATGAGAGGCAAGAGTGAGCTCCCCTTGAATACCTAAGAAAAAACTCCAGAACTTTCTCCAACTTCCTGGTTCAGAATATAGTGCAAAGGCACTGGTTGTAGTACTCTGTAGTACCTTACACAACTTTGTTTAAATATATTCTGTTTTTTAAAACATTGTAGGTTACCAGCAAACTTTGTTTATTCTAGTCGTTACCAGAGGTCACCAACTGGATTAGCCTCAGACTCAGACTTTGTTATTTCATTCTTTGGATATAATTGTACCCTGATGTCATGGATCATGGCTCTTGATATCAATCCTTGGTGATTGGCCCCTTGTAGTGTAAGTTTAGTTTTACGTTGCTTTTAGCAATATTCCAGCAATATCATGGCGAGGGACACCAGAAATAGGCTTCACACATTGTACCCATGTGGGGAATCGAACCCGGGTCTTCAGCGTGATGAGCAAACGCTTTAACCCCTGGGCTTCGCCAAAGCCCCGCCAATCACTGGATAGTGTGGTCCAGACTAAATTATAGCAAGACCACCTTCATGTAGCTTGAATATTACTGAAAGCATTAAACAACAAATTATACAAATACTGTTAACAAAACAATCACTATTTCAAAGTTAACTTTGGACTTTGAGACAATGGATACAAAAGCTGAAATTATTTTCAAAATCACCTTTTATGTTTAATAAACTGAAAAAAAGATGACCTCCAGATTCTGTCGTATTCTCCATATAAGTACCCGGCTCCAATAAATGACACGGTGTGGGTCGTTGCTCATGATATCACTCACTGGATTATCTGGTCCAGTGTTTGTTGTATACCCAGGGGTGGAAATAACCCATTGCCCGACGTCCGTTGTCCACTGTTTTTTTCTGTCGGACAAGCAAATTTGTATATCACACTGTACCGGTGTCCAGTTGACTTTCCAATGTTAATTATGTTGTTTATTTTATAAAATCAGCAAGAAAACGTTTGGAATAGTGGAAAAAGTATGAGGGCAAGTGACTTTACATGTGCCACTGTACCGGAGTACACTATCAATTTTAAAGTTATTTCCACCCCTGATACCGGTTCCTGTTTGTAGCGTATATATTTCTGTGTGGTGAGAAACATCCACAAACCACCACATATGAAATGAATCTATTTGGCTCCACAGGAAGGTGGTGGTGGTTGGCGCTGGTTACATAGCTGTGGAGCTGGCAGGGATATTTGGAGCCCTTGGAGCAGACACATCAATCTTGATTCGCTTTGAACAGGTGGGTGTTTTTCATGTTCATTCCTATCTTTTGTTTGAACAGTACCGCAGATAATGGCATACTCATTTGATACTATACAATGTGCTTGTAAATGAGACGTGCTGACTTAATTGACACATGTCATTGTAAACCAATTGAGCAGATTGATGCTCTTGATGTTAATCACTGGATTGTCTGGTCCAGACTCAATTTTTTTACAGCTAGCTGCCATATAGCTGGAAAATTGCCAAGTGTGGCGTTTAACAACAAAGAAACAAATATAGCGATGAGTCAAGTGGTTACAAACCTAGGCACATACCTCAAACTGTCCTTCGAACACACAATAATACATTTTTAAACTTATCCTATCTCACGGTATGTACTTCTCTCTCTTGATTTGACACTGAGTGGAACGATAACTAGGAAGCTGTCTTATAATGAGGGTAGCATGGAGTGCTTGGGCGGATGGACAAGTAAAGAGAGGCCAAGGGAAAAAAGTTTACATCGTTCCACTCAGTGTCAAATCAAGAGAGAGAAGTGCATACCGTGAGATTGGATACGTATATAAATATACAATTTATATTTAAAATTTCCAAGTTTCTGGTATGTCTAAGAGGTGCAACTCTGTTTGTAGACCACATGTATTATGAAAATCATTGTTAGCAAGTGAACTTTGCATGCAACCTGGTGATTCCCTCAAGCAAACACTCTTATGCTTACAGTGTCAGTATATTAAATCTTTAATGATATTAAGCATGGATTGTACAATTTCTTTTTGACTAACGCTTAGTCCCTGAATATATATAACTTTGATAGTAACAAATAAACCCATATAAACTGAAAAGGAGCCCCAGAGAGACCAGAGATTCAGAACCTGGGGAAATCTAGACTTGCTTCATTTAGGGCTTTAGCATTGCAGGGACGGCCTCCATTTGGGAAAATGTGTGGTTCAGGGACTGCGAGACAGACTACATTTCTTTGTGTGAGCCTCATTCCAGGCTTTCTTTTCTTTTGTTCTTTTCTGAATCAAGAACTTCGTTAAAATTATTTTCAAACCATAGTCTGGAGTAGAGAAAGGTAGAGAAAGTTGCTTTCTGGAAGAATAATATCAACTTCCTGTTAATTTTTTCAGTGCTAGGTAAAAGTTCAAAAGGTTATTCTAATTGGACCAGAAATGAGATGTCCCATACATACATGTAGGGAGAAGTAAGATTTGATTTTCTTCAGATCAGAGTATATTTCAATAACAATGCTGACAAAAACATTAAGTTGCTTTCATTCTTGACATTTCAAACTGTTGATGATATATCATTGTGAGGCACAGTGATGTGACACTATTTTCTTTATTCCGACAGGTACTGAGAACATTTGACTCCATGGTCAGCTCATCTGTGACGAATAGCCTTGAAAGTGAAGGGGTCAAGGTCAGAAAGAAGACAAAGGTATGTGTTGCCCGTGTCCGAAATAATTTCCAAATTTTGCTAGCCAGTCGGGATAGTTATGCCTGAAAGTTACTAGCCCACAAAATAATTCACTTGCCTGAAATTTGAATGTAGAAACGAAGCAAAAGATTACAAAAATAGATGAGAACAAGATACTGTCTGCATGACACGGGTTTCATTATTAAGCTGTTTATATTTTTATCAGGCCATAATCTTGCATGGTTTAAAGTGTATTATAACTTAACAAGTCGGAGGGAGTGATATATTTGCAAAATGACCACATGAAAATTCACTATCCAGTCGGGCCAGTGGCTATTTCGCACACTGTGTGTTGCTAAGAAACAGTGTACTGGTAACACAATCAACAATTATCACAAATTTAGAGCATCAGTATTAGATGAAAGTTCCACTGCATTGTTTTCCCGAACTTGATATTGATCTTATTAAACTGCAAGTTTTTATGATTGTGTTAGAAAGATAGATGGAGGCACAGTTTGGGGTCATTCAGGAAAAGAGATGATCATGAGAATGATTCTGTTTATGGAATCATTTCATTTCAATTAGAAGGGCTTTAAAGGACAGTAAAAGAGTTAATTTGCTGCCTGAATGTGTGTTTGAACCTTGACGCTTGTTGCAGGTCACATCTGTAACAAAGGAAAGTGATGGCAGCCTCACCGTGGAGACGACGACCGGTCAGATTGCGGGGGTCAAGTGCCTACTGTGGGCTATTGGCCGAGTCCCCAACACAGACAATGTGGGGTTGGACAAAGTGGTCAGTTGTGTCACATGATGTCATAGATTTGTCCAGATAACATTGCTGATGATGTTGGGGATGACGATCTTACACTATCCCCTCATCAGATCCGTGTTTATTATTAGCCAGTCTCTACGTCAGTACCAGAGGCTATGGAAACTTGTGTCAGTGAGCGCCATATGATTTTCGCTTCACATCTACATCCCTAATTGGCAACAAATCACATATTTTTATGAGAGGAAATAGTTTAATGCTATGTATCTTTTTGAGCTCTGGTAAGCCTGTATCCATTGTTGTAGTGACAAGGCTGGCTATAAAGATTGAAAATTGGATATATCATAGATAGACAAAATTATTAATGATTATTGATATGAAAATAGTGTCATCGATACTATCGTACATAAAGTTTTGTGACAGAATAAAGTTTATATAAATATACTCACACAAAACACAAAGTTAGGTTTTTATTCATTGGCTGCTTCTCAATTTTGTTTAGGATGCCGTTTTTTTTTTGTCAGTAAACATTTTTATTCAATGTTACTTCTCCAAGATTAGCGATAATCGACCAATATTTAGTTAATGATCATTGATCTCTATGACCTGTATTGATACCCAGCCATAGTAGTGTCAGTACAAGCTTTTCTCCATCACTAAAGCTGATATGCTGTTATTAACAGTTACACATTTCAAAGCCACTTAGATTAAGGACAAAACTATCCTTCAAAACTTTCACTCACTCAAACTCACTCACTCTCAATACAACTCTGCCTCTTTCTGTGAGATGTGCGTTACCATGGTTACAGGGGGTGGAGCTTGACGCACACAAAAACATTGTGGTGGATGAGTACCAGAACACCAATGTCAAGGACATCTATGCTTTAGGTGACGCCTGCGGAAAGGCTCTGTTGACACCAGGTAAAACCCTGAGTTTCATAGCAAATTGGTTTGATTTTGGTGCTGCCATGCAGTGCTTCTCATTTCTCAGAATATCAGAATGTTTATGTTTTCATATTTTAAGCTAAAAGTGAGAATATATATGATAGTAAGTGAGTGAGTTTAGTCTTATGCTGCTTTTAGTAATATTCCAGCAAAGTCATGCAGGGGGACACCAGAAATGGGCTTCACACATTGTACCCATGTTTTGGGGGAAAACAGTTTCACTGGAGTATTACACATTAGCAGCTGTAACTGTGTGTACCTAACAAATACAATAACAATAGTCACCGTACTCGTGCTTGAACTATAATAGTTCAGGGCGAAAGTGTGCTTTATTACACTATATATGGTGGTAGAGTTGACTGTATTTCTTTTCTAAGATGTCAAATTTAAATACTTACTGACGATAAATCTAAGGCAAGAAACAAACAGAAAAGCAACGGTGTCGGTGACCTAAATTACCAATCCTCATTCAGGGCTAGTGCAGCACTATTCTATATATATATATATGTCACGTCTGCCCCCCTACGTTAAGACCCACGTTACCAGAAAAACAAATGATCAACAGTTTGATGACAGTTTACGGTCGGGTTAAATATCTTCTCTAAATTATTTTTATTACATCTGCGATTAACGTAAACCATATGGGGCAATATGAACGTCACATTTCTACTACCAATGTAACTTTAGATCAGTACATCCAGATGAAGCTGACTAGTCACGCGGCATTCCACGGATGCATTGTGAGAATGTAAACATTGCGAACGTTACCGTGTCGCTTTCTAATTGTGAGTTGATCCGAGACATTATGTCCATCGAAAAATATATACATCATGTTTCCATCAGTAATGTTAGCTGAGTGAAGCAACTGCAAACCAAGAAACGGGGTGCTATGGAGTAGTTTACTGTAGGAGGCTGTACGAGGCGATGACAACTGACATGCATCTTGATGTCGGTTACCAAGGCTACGTTCGATTACGAGGGGGCAGACATGAATGGTGCAGTGACATAATGCAAAAAAGTGTACATTGTTGTCTGATAGAGTACTGTCGGTGCCTTTGAATCCTCACTGAAGCATCTTAGAATATTCAATACATTCAATGAGACAACAACAAAATAATTTCTCTGACATGTTGTGGTCCTGTTGACAGTATTGATTTATCATGACAATGAGCAGTGACCGCATTACTGTCAAATTAAGTATAAAAGTGTGTTGACTATTATCCTGCCTGGCTTGGATATATTCTGTTTCGCATATTTTGCATTGATAAATAACATCCAAATTCATGTTTAAAAACCCTTCCGAACAATAGTCATAAATATTTCATTCCAGTGGTACCGTGAAGATCTGGGTTAGAATTTATCTTCAGTAACCCATGCCTGTCATAAAAGGCAACTAATGGGATCGAGTGGTCAAGCTCGCTGTGGTCGACACATGTCATCGTATCCCAATTGTGTAAATCAATGCTCATCACTTGATTGTCTGGTCCAGATTCAATTATTTACAGACTGCTGCCATATAGCTGGAATATTGCTGAGTGCGTCGTAAAACTAAATTCACTCACTCATTCTAATGATTACGCATAATGAATTGAGGTTAGGAAGCAACATGGTTTTTTCACCGAATATGCAAGTGAATCTTAACACACTTATTAAACAGCATGTACCAACTGTTTCAGTCGCCATAGCAGCAGGGAGACGTCTGGCTCATCGGGTGTTTGACAACAAGAAGGATCTGAAGCTAGACTATTCCAACATTCCAACTGTTGTCTTCTCTCACCCACCAGTAGGCACAATAGGACTGACTGAAGGTAAGTGTTGTAAAGTGTCTCACCCACCAGTAGGCACAATAGGACTGACTGAAGGTAAGTGTTGTAAAGTGTCTCACCCACCAGTAGGCACAATAGGACTGACTGAAGGTAAGTGTTGTAAAGTGTCTCACTCACCAGTAGGCATAGTAGGACTGACTGAAGGTAAGTGTTGTATAGTGTCTCATTCACCAGTAGGCACAATAGGACTGACTGAAGGTAAATGTTGTATACTGTGTTGTATAGTGTCTCACTCACCAGTAGGCACAGTAGGACTGACTGAAGGTAAGTGTTGTAAGTGTACTGTAACTTATAATGCTTTCGATACATTTGAATCCTGCATTTGAGTTTCTGATGATTACTAAAATTGTTTAGTTGGTTTTATGCACAAAACCTAGGAATTATTGACGATTGTAGTCAACTTGGTGTTTTTCAGACGAGGCCGTGGGGGAGTATGGGAAAGAGAACGTGAAGGTGTACACGTCCAACTTCACTCCCATGTATTACGCTGTGCTACAACACAAGGGCAAGTGTAGCATGAAACTCGTGTGTGCCGGGCCAGAGGAGAAGGTGAGTGGATGTTGGCTACTTCATAGTGGACACCATCAATACTCTTAATGCCTCAAGACTCCTGTCTCAAAAAATCAACTTGTCCATGTGTTTCTATTTTAGGTCAAGTTTTAGGTCAGGTGATACAGGTGCATGTCAGGGTTCCAGGTCGTTGATCAGGGCTGTGATGATGTGATACAGGTGCATGTCATGTTTCAGGTCGTTGATCAGGGCTGTGATGATGTGATACAGGTGCATGTCATGTTTCAGATCGTTGATCAGGGCTGTGATGATGTGATACAGGTGCATGTCATGTTTCAGGTCGTTGATCAGGGCTGTGATGATATGATACAGGTGCATGTCATGTTTCAGGTCGCTTGATCAGGGCTGTGGATGATATGATACAGGTACATGTCATGTTTCAGGTCGTTGATCAGGGCTGTGATGATGTGATACAGGTACATGTCATGTTTCAGGTCGCTTGATCAGGGCTGTGATGATGTGATACAGATACATGTCATGTTTCAGGTCGTTGATCAGGGCTGTGATGATGTGATACAGGTGCATGTCATGTTTCAGGTCGTTGATCAGGGCTGTGATGATGCGGATACAGGTACATTGATCAGGAGCTGTTTCATGGGTCATGTTGATCAGGGCTGATGATGATGTGATACAGGTGCATGTCATGTTTCAGGTCGTTGATCAGGGCTGTGATGATACAGGTGATGTCAGATCGTGCATGTGATGATATGATACAGGTGTCGTCATGCAACCTTCAGGTCGTTGATCAGGGCTGTGATGATGTGATACAGGTGCATGTCATGTTTCAGGTCATTGATCAGGGCTGTGATGATGTGGATACAGGTGCTTGTCATGTTTCAGGTCGTTGATCAGGGCTGTGATGATGTGATACAGGTGCATGTCATGTTTCAGATCAGGGCTTGATGATGTGATACTGGTGCAGGGCTTGATCAGGGCTGTGATGATGTGATACAGGTGCATGTCATGTTTCATTGATCAGGGCTGTGATGATGTGATACAGGTGCATGTCATGTTTCAGGTTGATCAGGGCTGTGATGATGTGATACAGGTGCATGTCATGTTTCAGGTCGTTGATCAGGGCTGTGATGATGTGATACAGGTGCATGTCATGTTTCAGGTCGTTGATCAGGGCTGTGATGATGTGATACTGGTGCATGTCATGTTTCAGGTCGTTGATCAGGGCTGTGATGATATGATACAGATACATGTCATGTTTCAGGTCATTGATCAGGGCTGTGATGATATGATACAGCTTGCATGTCATGTTTCAGGTTTAGGTTCAGGACTGTGATGATATGGTACAGGTGCTTCTCATTTTTCAGGTCATGCCGAAGATCCGTGTTCGATTCCCCACATTGGTACAATGTATGAAGCCCATTTCTGGTGTGCCCCCGCCATCATATTGCTGGAATGTTGGTTAAGGGAGCATTTTGATCCCCGACCGCGTCATACCAAAAGACGTTAAAATATGATACTGTATATTACCGTAGATAAGCCGACCCCATAGATAAGCCGACCCCTTAACTTAACCCTTGAAATCAGTGTCAAAATGGTAGGTTTCATACTGTATAAACTATAAAACACACTGAACATACATCGTTTATTCATCAAACATTACCGCCACAATAACACTCGCAGGTTTCACACGCTTTTTACCGTATGTTTGTTTTGTTGTAAACAAAGGAATTAAGCCCCTACTCAAACAATCTCCCATTCTTTGAAAGTGTTTGTGCAAACAACAAAACAATAGCAATCGGGCCCATTATTATCAGTACTTGTGTATCGCGTGTCTGGCATGACAAAACAACAGGAAGCAATCGCCCTCTTCACCATATGTGACGTCACAGCAAACAGCTGATCGCATTGGCACGTGTCAGGACATGTTTATGACTTCTCCCTTGTTTTTTTCTGTTACAAATTGTCTTGTGATTTGTGTTAATTATCTTCAGGGGCTGTTACTTTTATGTTGATCTATGGGCAACTTGTGTTGATGTGATTCACTCTTGAATCAGACCACCTCCGTGGTGTAATGTTTAGAGTGTCCGCCCGGAGAGCGGAAGGTCGCAGGTTCGATACCCAGACGTATCATGCCAATTAAAATATGGTACTTGTTGGTCCCTGCCTGGCGCTTAGCATTAATGAGTATATCAAGGAATGATCAGCTCGGAGTCATTATAATGTGTCTGAGTGGGGTATTCCTGCTTCACTGCGGCATGGTATCTCAGTGACCTAGCACTATAAAACCAGCTTAAGTCTGGGCTAGTACAAGCAGCCGCACATACAGATACACACGCATGCACGTCGTCATATGAGCGAAATATTCTCAAGCACGATGTTAAACCCAATTTCACCTCACCTCACTGTTATGTATCAGATCATGATTCAGGGCAGTGATGATATACTTCAGGTACTTGTTCTGTTTCAGGTTGTAGGTCTCCACATGATTGGACAGGGCTGTGACGAGATGCTGCAGGGGTTCTCCGTCGCCATCAAGATGGGCGCCACCAAGGCGCAGTTTGATAACACGGTCGCCATCCATCCCACGTCATCAGAAGAATTGGTCACCATGAGATAGCCGTACTATCAAATCTAAGACGGAAAACAATTTGCCTTTTTTAAGGCACTGCAAAATCCAAACGCTTTCGTAAAATATCACTCAATACCAAGAAATATATATTCTGGTGAAGATTCTTATCAAACTACAATCCCACATTATGATTTTGAAAACAGATTTTGTAAATGTTTAGTTTTGTATTTGCAAATATGTAATATATATTATATGTTGCCATGTTGACAAATTGAAAGTAAAAAGTTCAAATGTATTATTACCTTGTATTATTAATTATATCCATTTACATTTAGTCAACCCCATTATCTCGAAATGTACCGATATCTCATACCTACTCTCTAATGACCTTCTCACTCTATAAATGCACATGAATTTCACCGCTTTTTCAATTTAATGATGATAATACACAGTAACTTCTCCAACATTGGACTCTTCCAGCTTTGACATTACCAAGGAATGGTGTACCTTTACGTTGAAGTTGGCATTTGTGACATGAAAGTTTTAGAAGCACAAGTAAGCAGCTCCTGTTGCCATAAGCACTACTCTATCATACATCCAGTAACTTTCCCAATACAACCATCTTGATTTCTAATTCTAATAGGGCCGGTGGGGTAGCCTAGTGGGTAAAGCGCTGGCTTGTCACACCGAAGACCCGGGTTCCATTCCCCACATGGGTGAAGCCCATTTCTGGTGTCCCCCACCGTGATGTTGCTGGAATATTGCTAAAAGCGGCGTAAAACCAAAATCACTCACTCACTCTAATTCTAATACAATGCAATCCTATTTATAGTAATGTTACTTGATCTGTATGGCTGTCCATGCTGAACAATGTCGAATGTCTGGATATCTCACAGTTACAGCAGGTCCTGCTTTGTTCAAGATACTGGGGCCAGTAGAATATTACTATTTTTTAAGCATATCTTCAAGATGGCTTCTGAATAGAACTTTTCTTAACCACAGCGTCTATGATCCACAGCGCCATATGTGCATGTCATCACTTTGATTTAATAAACTTATGGTGTAATCAGTTCTTGAGTTCTGTTTTTAATCACATCAATATCTTTTGCAGACACACTTTGGTCTAATAAGAATTAAATTAAATTGCATGAAAGCATTTCTTTGGAATTTGCGATTAGAGCAAGACATTTCAAATTATACCACAATTCTGAAATCTTTGGTTGTTGAATCTGTGGATCAGGAAATGCTGTCTTCAAAATTCTGTACCTAATAGAGGAGCCTACTTGGTATTGACATCGCTTGATACCATGTAAACAGACATTCCTCTAACTCAGGAAATTCCAGGTTTGAGCTGGCCCCCAGCAACCTATGTTGGTTGAAATAGGTCAGACCCGTGAAGATCCTGCTTAGAATTGGTCATCAGCAAGCCACACTTGTAAAAGGCGACTAACTGGATAGGGTGACTTGTTTGCCACCGTTATATCACAGGATCGCGATTTTTTCACTTCTTGATATAAACATCGATCACTAAGTAACACATCGAATCTCACCTTAAACATTTTACTTTAATAAGTGGACCCGTGAAGGTCCGGGTTAGAATTGGCCTTCAGTAACCCATGCTTATCGTAAGAGGCGACTTACGGGATCTGGTGGTCAGGCTCGCTGACTTGGTTGACACATGTCATCGTAGCCCAATTGCGTAGTTCGATGCTCATGTTGTTGATCACTGGATTGTCTGGTCCAGACTTGATTATTTACAGGCCGCCATGCAGTGGGGACATTGCTGAGTGTGGCATTAAACAACAAATATATAAACAAATAGTACGAGATAAGATATGATGCGTGTTTGCGTAAAATACACAAAACAACTCTATGACAAATATGTTTCAATTTGCTGACATATAAAATTTTTAAACTTATCCTATCTCACGGTATGCACCTCACTTCTTCTTTTACAACCATGTGTGGAAACATGCTGTAGGCTAAGTTGAATCAAAAGTTATCTGGCCTCTGACCCCCCGACCTCTGCCCCCACTCCGAAGCAGTATCTGTCAATCATCTCAATGAGCGTGCAGATCGCTCAGATGATCCTATCCTATCTCACGCGATGGATACCCACATCACAGAATACTGGAAGTTCCAAGACGAGAATGACAGGCACAGACCGTCACGTGATCTTCTGAGCGATCTGCAACTTAGCCTACAGCACGTTTCCACACATGGTCGTAGAAGAAGAAGAGAGGTGCATACCGTGAGATAGGATAAGAATATAAATATACAATTTATATTAAAATTTTTTCAATATGCATGCAAAATGAAAAATACCCAACAGTATTACAGCACTGTCTTGAATTACCAATTGTAAACCATTCACCTCACATCCCCAAATGTTTTACAGATCTTTATTTACTGATCAAATGCAGGCATTACCTATTCATAAACTCTATTGCAGTGATTAATGCTCAACAGGGCTAGTTTGTTTGTTTGTTTAATGCTGCACTCAGCCCTTTTCCAGCTATATAAGGGCGATGGATAGCCTAGTGGTTAAAGCGTTCGCTCGTCACGCTGAAGGCCCGGGTTCGATTCCCCATATGGGTACAATGTGTGAAGCCCATTTCTGGTGTCCCCTGCCGTGATATTGCTGGAATATTGCTAAAAGCGGCGTAAAATCCATACTCACTCACTCACCTCCAGCTATATGATGGCAGTGTAAATAATCAAGTGACTTCATGAGCTTCCATCTAAGCAACTGAATGAACAAGTCAGTGATTCCACTTCTTTGATTGTTGGTTTGTTTCGAGGTAATAGTTGTGAACGAAAGGCTAATCCATGGTTACATATGGCTGAACAAAGTCAGCTTGCTCCGTTTCTAAATAACTTAAATTTAGAAAGATGAGGAACCTGGATCGTTTCTCGCCAATGGTCTGGATCCGTTGAACCAAACGTTCTGGAACTCTTGTCATGCCTGAGAGTCTATCTCATGCCATAACCCCGCTGTACTGGCTATTTCACGGCCAGTGGGGTAGCCAAGTGGTTACAGCGTTCAATCGTCACGCCGAAGACCTGGGTTCGATTCTCCACATGGGTACAATGTGACCCCATTTCTGGTGTCCCCCGCCGTGATATTGCTGGGATATAGTAAAAGCGGCGTAAAACCCAACACACTCACTCACTCACTGGCTATCTCACGTGTGGTGAGTGATCCACTACATATATAATCATGTCGTGTCTTTGATCAATATTTCCCTTAGGTTGTTATTTGAAGTTCACCCTGTCCATGGATCATTTCTGAGACCAGTAAGAGAGATCAAATCTCAAAAACAAATCCAGGGCGTGGTGAAAGGGTCGATACGCCGCACTGATTTAACCAGCATTCGGCCTAACGTACACATTGTCTATTGTCATGAATTAATAGGGAACGCCAGAACATTTGCTTTGGAATATTTCAAGATCAACCGAATCGAACACACTCGATTCCGCACGTCCCTCGCGCAACTGTACAGGAACTCGACAATGCTCCAGCTGAAGAGTGGAACAGTTGAGCTACCCAGGCTCTTGGTCCTTGAGTCGACGATAGTAAGTGATGATCGCACAACGTGGATCACATACGGGCCACTGAGATGTCCTTGTTTGGGCAATGAATTTGTATTCCTGACTTTCATTTGTCGTCAGGCACTCCAATTTGGAGGGATAAACTGATTGATTTTACTTTGAGGATGAGAAACCTGTCACGTCTTATGGCGTAGACTGGTTTGCAGGTGTAGAAACACATCACCCCGTTTCCCACGAGGTACTCTGTACAACTCTCATGGGCCCGTTTATCTCTGATGTGTCTTGTTCCTGAAGGCTACTGGGAAGATTAGCATCTTAGTGGTACGGTCACTCGACACCAACGTCTTTATCATGAGGAAGACAACGTTTGCTCTTATCTATCAGTGCGACTATTACCTCCCGTTTGCCCTTTGTCCGCTGCCTATAATTTAAATCCCCGCTTCCATTTGCCCATTGTCATGATGGCTTCCATTCAGCGCTAGTTAACTGTTAACTGTTAGCTTCCATTTGTACATTGCCAATCACCTTTCAAGGCCAGTTAACTGTTGTCTTGCCTTGTTTAGCCTTCATCTTTGTTGTCTCATTACTTTTGTTTGTTCTTACATGAACATATATATTTAGCCTTCATCTCTGTCTCATAGCATGTTCTTATTCATAGCATTCATTCACCTTATGAAGGAGTAAGGAAAGAGGTCCTTTGTCCATGCAGGATCTATAGCCTGGAACAGTCTCCCGCAGAGCCTCAGAGACTGTTGTGACTTTAATTCTTTTAGATCCAATCTAAAAACACACATGTTCAAGATAGCCTTTGAACTGTAGCTCTTTACCATTTATCTCATCTTTATCTTGTGCGCTTTGAGCATACTTTAGCATGGATATATGCGCGTAACAAATATGCTGTTATTATTATTATTATTATTATATACTCCGAAATCTTGTGTTGCTCATAATAAAGAAGTTGAAATCCATCAAACTCTCTTCCTTATCTGTGTCACTTCTAAATGCCGTTCAAAGACCTGACCCGAAGTCTATGTTATAACATTAATACAGATTTACACTGTGTTTCTCCAACACCAGTACCTATAACCAATCCGCATTATTTGCGGTCGCTTTTTTTAGTGTGTGAGTCAGTAAGGTGGTTTTACGCCATTTTATAGCATCATTGAATCAATATCACGGCGGGGATAACTACAAGGCTGATCGACCTCTCTTGCAGTAATTGGGACACAAAACGTTCGTAGCACTACGACATTCGACATCCGTAAGCCTCTGATAAAATATAGAGTTGCGACAGGTCGTAACGTTACGAACGCTTTGTGGATCGAGACCTAGGTCACATGCTTAACTACATTCAAATCAAAACTCAAGACGCACCTATTTTCAGGCTATTATTCATAGACTTTATTTCACCCTAATAATTATTCTGGGACTTTATATTCATAGACATTTTCTCCTGCTATTAGTCATAGGCCTTATTTCAGGATATCATTCATAGGTTTCATTTCATACTATTATTTCATCATACCTGTGTCTTTTCTCTCATTTTATTCGCTTTGAGCATGCACCTTGTGGATGGATACAGCGCTTGATAAATACTCATTATTATTATGTTTGAAGCCGGATGGAACCCAGTGGTTTCTCGGACCACTGAGCAATCAGCTCTGTACGTGCATTTCTCATGCATCGCAGTCGTCTAGTCAACACATTGCTTTAACGCCGCACTCAGCAATATTCCAGCTGTCTGTAATTAATCGAGTCTGGACCAGACAAGCCAGTGATCAGCATCATGAGCATCGATGTACACAATTGGGATATGATGATATATGTGTCAACCAAGTCAGCGAGCCTGACCGCCTAATCCCGTTAGTCGCCTCTGACAACAAGTGTGGGTTGCTGAAGACCAATTTTAACATGTAGATTGATATGTTGTCGCCCTCAGACATACTGTTGTTTGTAGAAAATGCTGTGCAGATGCTTCCACCACGATGTTTGTTGGATAACAGTATCAGTGTTGATGTTTTGACGTTGTATGGTTAAGTTTAACATTGTTTATAGCTGATTTCTATCCTCAAAGAGTAAACTGGAACTTCAGCGAGCCTGAACTCCCAATCCCATCAATCGCCTCTTACGACAAGCACGGGTTCCTGAAGACCAACTCTTACCCGGATCTTCACGGGTCGCCAATATAGAAAGGTCTGCCGGAAGTGGGCTCACTGGACTTCAATGGCCTCATTTCATTAGCTGACAAGATATATACACACACTCGTCACTACTAAACCGCATGTTTGTTTGGACAGAATATTTTTATGTTACAATGTATAAAATAGAACAACACGAGAGGCACCTACCACCCCTTGCGCAGACGAAAGTGTGCTACGCATTTGGTTTCAAATGAAATTTAGAGACTATCAATTCGGTCTAACCTGACTCTAATTTTCAAACACAATACGTTTATTTCCTACTTAATACAGCAGTTTTACGCCGCTTTATCAATATTATAGTAATGCCCGCGCAGTGTTCTTGTCTTTTTTGGGGCGGTGAGGTAGCTTAGTGGTTAAAACGTGTGCTCGTCACGCCGAAGACTCGGGTTCGATTCCCCAAATGGGTACAATGTGTGATGCCCATTTTGTGTCGCGTCCCAGGCCGTGATATTGTTGGAATATTTCTAGAAGCGGCACAAAACTGAACTCACTCACTCTTGGTACATTGTACAAGTGTCTGAAGTTTGGTACCAATTAATGGACAATTCCTGTATAGTAATACGATGTCCTTCTGCTCGTACTCAAATAGCAGTGAGATGTCCCAACACAAAAGCGTTCATAGAGCTACAACATTCGTTAGCCAATGATATAGTATAAAGTTACGATAGGTCGTAACGTTACGAATGCTGTGCGGATCGGAACCCAGAGCTATTATTGTGGACATCGTGCTTTTCTTGCATGGATATGGCGCAAACGGATACATGCAATACAGATCGCTGATCATGAGTTTGTGTACTGGCGATTAAGAGCCCTTCCCTGAGAGTGTGACTTCGAATCCCAGATGGGGCTCTATTTAAAAAGTACTAGTCAGAATAGAATACATGAGAAAGTGCGATCCCACGTACAAGTTCAACATATGTCATATAACAAAATGATTGTCAAAATTTACACCAAGCCATCCGTATCACGTAACCAGGTAACTGTTGATTATTAATGTTGTGTAAGCATTTGAAAGTAATGTGACCCTTTTCATGTCTTCACAGCTGTTATGTAGGGTAATGTATGCTGCCGAATAAACTAACACTGCCGCTGTTACAGGTCATTGGCTCCCTCCCTCTGCAAGCGGTCTGCGTTCTGCTGTTTATTTTGTTGACAGTTACATAGACAGATTCTTTATTACAAATGCATAAAATCGGTGATTTACAATGTGATTAGGTTGTCTGACAAAACATCCACTTGCACAGTTTGAGATCGATTGGGTCATTGGATGAAGAGATATTTACAAAAAACCGGGTCCACATGCATTTCATGCCAAACTATAGTTGTGCTTTAGCCAGGGGAGACAATCGCCTTAACCGGAAACAATCACTAAAATCAAAATGGGGAAGTCCCTTCACTCAGAAGTCTAGTGCGGAACAACTCGTGTTATAGAAACATGTATGTATTGACAAGCATTCTGTCCTATTCTGTCCTATGCAGTTTCTTTCTAGAACATGAAACTAATTGATAGATTTTAAACATGCAACTGTGATCAGTAACAAACACGAACGGAACTTTTCAAGACAAAGCCTCTTAATATCTGCTGAAGCCAAGGTGTCGTTGTCGGCACAGGTAGTACAGATATGTGCCCCAGGTATATTTCTGTATCCCCTAAACAAAGTCAAAATACAGAAACGTACCCGGTAACCAAATTGGGGACAAGTCAATATTCTGCAATCCGTTCAACTGATTGCGAGTGGTCGTCTGCTGCTGTGCATGCCAAACCATATGAATACCAAAATATCATTTATTGTGTTTAATTGCTCGTTTCTTACATAAGTTATAACGCAATCAAGTGCATCTAATACAACAGTATGGCATCCGATCATGAAAACGGAATTCAGTCCATTTCTAATTTGTTTTTAATATGAACTAATCATATGCAGTATATCTTTTCAGGTTTGTCATGTTTTTATCAGTCATAGCTATACTCATTCTCTTCCCACAGAGGTTACTCCTGCCATATCTTCCTACGTAACCTCTGTTCTAATACGGCCCTTTCATGGTGTGAGCGTTCAAGACTCGTGATTGGAGGCAATCAGATTTAGTTGTGCAATCAGCGACGTTGTTTCAAAAGTGATCATTCGCAAGGCCTCGGTAATTTCCGTATGCTTCGAGAAAACTAAACCTCTTCCCCTGCGCGATGCGCAAACGTTTCTTCTAGACAGAACTCAGTCATGTTATGGCGGATCAGTGGCGTCTCCATCGCCCTCGTTGACAACGGACAAGCTAGCCATTAAACGTCTTGTGTGTAACATCAACACAAGTCCCCGGCAGATGGGGGATATTTGTGGCCCCACATTTGCTTGTGTTAGTCAAGTTGAATCTAAGTCGATGTAACACTTGTTCTGATTGGATAGAAAGAAGGGAGATAATTCGTGTTGCGATCTTTTGCCGCTAGGGGATTTTACGAGAACCGGGAAATGTGGCCGTATTAGAACAGAGGTTCGTAGGAAAATATGACAAGTAACCTTTGTGGGAAGAGAATGAGCTATACTAGGTCTGAAGGGGTTGTTGTCGGCACGGGTACTACAGATATGTACCCCAGGTACGTTTCTGTATACAGATATGTACCCTGGCCATAATGAGAATACAGAAACGTACCCTAGGACGATTCCATTTTCATTGTGTCGTATTCTTGATCAGAACTGTCATGCTGTTGTATTAGATACATTTGATTGCTTTATGTAAGTAATGAGAATACACAGTAACGGATATTTCGCGATGCATATGAATACCACTCGCAATCAGTTGAACGGGAACAAGTACATGCGGTTTCGGTTTTGGATTGCGGAATATGGACTGGTCCGCCTTTTAGGGTACCAGGTACGTTTCTGTATTTTGACTTTGTTTAGGGTACATATCTGTATACAGAAACGTACCTGGGGTATGTATCTGTATACCTGTGCCGACAACGACCCCTTCAGCTATACCGGGTCCCGTTCCTCAAAGCGATCTTAGTGCTACGCCCGCCGTAAGTCCATGTTAATGTATGGGAGTTAGGTTCATCTTAGCACTCCGATCGCTTTGTGAAACAGGGCCCTGATCTTACCGTCAGTGTACCAGAAGTTGTGTCTTCCTTTCTATATTTTGTCAAGAGATGCCACTGTAACCAAACCCATTATCCCTATGGTATCACTACAGTTACCATATTATTTTACAACAGTTCATGACACTCCTGAAGATCCGGGTTAGAATTGGTCCTCAGCAACCCATGCTTGTCGAAAGGTGACTAACGTAACCGGGTGGCCAGGCTAGCTGACTTGGTTGATGTATGTCCTTGTATCCCAATTGCACAGATGAATGCTCATGATGCTGATCGTTGGACTATCTGGTCAAGAATTCGATTATTCACAGACTGTTGTCATTTAGCTGGAATATTGCTGAGTGTGGCATTAAGGGTAAGCAAACAAACAAAAGTGAGTGAGTGAGTTGAGTTTTACACCATACTCAGCATATGGCAGCGGCCTGTAAGTAATCGAGTCTGGACCAGACAATCCAGGGATCAACAGCATCAACATTGATCTACGCAATTGGGATACGATGACATGTGTCAAGCAAGTCAGCGAGCCTGACCACCGATTCCGCGTTAGTCACCTCTTACGACAAGCATGGGTTACTGAAGATCAATTCTAACCCGGATCTTTACGGTTAAACAAAACAAAAGAGTGCATGTACTTTAATTATGATGTATTTGTGTGGAAGTTTTTATGACCATACTGGCAATAGGTTGATTGTAGCTTGTTATGTTTGGGATTATACTTTCTAAATGAAGTACAAATTCTAGTATTTTAAGTTGAGTTCCATCCTGGATTTGAACTAACGGTGTCAGAATTGCCAACATACAAAGTCAGCTGTCTAACCCACACAACCACCGCGGTAAAGTGCAAACTCGAGTATTTGTTACTTCAAATCCCATGCAGGATTCAAAACGACAGTCTGAGAATGAGGCACCAAGTTGCCATCACACAAAGTCAGCAATCTAACCCACTTAGCCAGTGCCTTCCACAAACAATGAAATGAATAGAGTAATACTGTACTGACTGGGCCTTATGTCAGAATACACTAATCATAATATCGTCACACCACTATTGTCTTGTATGTGATGTAAGACTTAATATGGTTCAGAAGCTGTTGATGTGGAGACAAATACTATAGTGACTGGGCCTTGTACTGGAGTGAGTGAGTGAGTTCAGTTTTATGCTGCTTTTAGCAATATTCCAGCAATATCAGAAACCAGAAATGGGCATCACATATTGTACCCATGTGGGTAATTGAACCTGGGTGTTTGGTGGGATGAGTAAACGCTTTAAGCACTAGACAACCCAACCATTCCTCGTATTGGGATACACTGATCACCATATTGTTTCTCCATTATTGTCTGGTGTCTGAAGCCATGGGGACAGTGTAATAGACTAGTGGTTAAAGTGTTCGCTGATCATGCCGAAGACTCGGGTTCGATTCCCCACATGGGTACAATGTGTGAAGCCCATTTCTGGTGTCTCCCGCCATGATATTACCGGTATATTGCTGAAAATGGCGTAAAACCATACTCACTCACTGATGCCAAGAGTGTTTCAGATGTTTCAAGACTTATACTACAGTGACTGTGTTTCAGGCCGGGTGACAAAGTTGGTGGTACGGAGTGCGAGGAGATGCTGAAGGCAGCCTCCGAACCATTCTCCCAGTGTGACGTCCATGCAGCTGAGATGATAGAGAAGAACATTGCCTGCCTGTCGTGCAATAAGCTTGTGTGTGCTCTGTGCATGCGTGACTCACACCTCAGTCACGACATCATCAGCGTCAATAAACTCCGCGACTGCATGACTCTACGGGTATGTTTACTCCTCTCTGAATCCGAAAGTGCTGAATTCTGAAGGAGCTCCCCAAGAGGTGACATAAAAGATGTATCTAGAGGGGCAAAATGTTTGAACATGGATTCCATTGTGAAATTACCTGATGGATGAAAAGAACTCAGTCTTAGAAATCAGAGCTGTGGCTTTAGCCTACTAGTTTTGCTAAATCCATGACTCAGCATGTATTTCATGTAAACTACAAGACTCTTTAAAATTTGATTTACCAACTATAGCTTCCAAATTTTAAACCAAGAGTGATTGCAATATGAAGTGGAAAGATAGCTGTGTGATATGCTCAAATAAAATGTTTAATAGAGTTGTATTAAGGGTAACTGCAGATTATTTTTCTTGATAAAACAAAATTTGAACATAAACTGATATGTTATTATTAACATATACAATTGTGTAAGGATTATGTCAATAAATTGCATGGCCACTCATGGTTAATGTTATATAGGCATACAAATTATTAGAGGGGTCATCTATAAAATCATAAAAGGGGGATAACTCTGTAAATGTATTTTTCAGAAAGAGACAAAAATTGCTTCACATTATTTAGATACCTTTTCATAATGTGTAATAAATCTCCAACATTTCTTTATGAAAGAAAACAGGTCATCAAGTCAGCCAAAAATCGAAATAACACACACTTAAACGTTTCTGCTTTTATAATTCGTGAAATGGCCATGTCTGTCCAAATTATAACACTTCTGAAATGAAAATAGTTCATATGGTATTATTGTTGATCCTTTTACAGACTTTGTTATTACACCTGTAACAGTCAATTAACAGAGTAACCATGGTAACTGGTGACATCATTTACAGTGCCGCATATTCAGCATGGAGCTAAGTGATGTCATCAAACAATGGAAGATGCTTTGTCCAGAGCAAACGTTCCAGGTTGGGAGACTTAAGTCAAACTTAGCAGAGTTGAACTGCATGGTGTTTGTTGGTTGTTCAAGTTCCTGACTGTTGTTTAGATGCAAATGTGATATTTTAATGCCCCCGCCATATATGGCAGGGGCATATAGGGTTACCCTCAGTGTCCGTCTGCCGTCCGTACGAAACAGGGAATGCATTCTATCCACTTCTCCACCATAACCGCTCTGTGGAATTCAATGGACTTATACATGGGCTTTCTTGGGACTCTAATGGTGTGTATCTCATATTTTGTTTTTTTATTTTATTGGTTTTTTTTGTAAGTTTAGAGACATTTGAACTTAGGTACATTTTGCTGATTTTCTCTATGATGAGAGTGAAATAGGGGATGAAGTCTATCCACTTCTCCACAAAAACTGCTCAACAGAATTGAATGAACTTCTACATGTCTTTTGTAGGGACTCTAAAGGTGTGCATTTCGTAATTTTTTATGCAATTTCTTAATTTTGTCACTTTTACAGATGTTTGAACTTAGTTGAATCTCGTATTATTCAGCCAGTGTTTGTTCCATCCAACAGGGGGCGGTGGGGTAGCCTAATGGTTAAAGCGTTGGCTCGTCACGCCGAAGACCCGGGTTCGAATCCCCACATGGGCACAATGTGTGAAGCCCATTTCTGGTGTCCCCCGCCATGATGTTGCTGGAATATTGCTAAAAGCGGGGTAAAACCAAACTCAGTCAGTCAGTCCATCCAACAGGGAGTGTACGTTATCCACTTCTCCTCAAAAACTACTTTATGGAATTCATTTAGATTACACATGTGCTTTATAGGGAGTCTAAAGGCGTGCATCTCATATTTTGATTTTGTATTTTATTTATTTTTCCAATTTTAATGCCGTTTGAACTTAGATAAATTTTGTTGAATTTCTCTCTGAATATAGTGTTATAGGGGATGAAGTCTATCCACTTCTCCACAAAAGCTGCTCAACAGAATTGATTGAGCTTCTACGTGTGTTTCATTGGAACTCTAAAGGTGTGCATCTCATACCTTGTTCATCCAATATCTTAATTTTGTCACTTTTACAGATGTTTGAACTTAGTTGAATTTGGTTCTATTCAGCCAGTGTTTGTTCCATCCAACAGGGGGTGTATGTTATCCACTTCTCCTCAAAAACTACTTTATGGAATTCATTTAGATTACACATGTGCTTTATATTATAGGGACTCTAAAGGTGTGCATCTCATATTTTTATTTTGTATTTTATTTATTTTTCCAATTTTAATGCCGTTTAAACTTGCATAAATTTTGTTGAATTTCTCTCTGAATATAGTGTTATAGGGGGTGAAGTCTATCCACTTCTCCACAAAAGCTGCTCAACAGAATTGGCCTTTTATGTGTCTTTCATTGGGACTCTAAAGGTGTACGTCTCATACCTTGTTCATCCAATATCTTAATTTTGTCACTTCTACAGATGTTTGAACTTGAATTGGCTCTATTCATCCAGTTTGTCCCATACAACAGGGTGTGTACTTTATCCACTTCTCCTCAAAAACCACTGCACAAAACTCATTTAGCTTACATATGTCTTTTATAGAGACTCTAAAGGTGTGCATCTCATATTTTGTTTTCGTATTTTATAAGTTTTTGTATGTTTAGAGAATTTTAAACTTAGATAAATGTTGTTGAATTTCTCTCTGATGATAGTGAAATAGGGGATTAAGTCTGTCCACTTCTCCACAAAAACTGCTCAACAGAACTGATTAAGCTTATACATGTGTTTCATTGAGACTCGAAAGGTGTGCATGTCATAGTTGCATAGATGTTTATTGAACTTGTTCGTGAATTTTGTTCAATTATTGATCTTTATATGTCTTATGAATGTCAGCGGGGGCATCCATGTCCCTGGACACAATTTTTTCTTGTTTTGTATTTGTTAGTTGTTCAGAGCCAAGCTCAGCAATATTCCACCATGATTTATGATCTTGTGATGTTTCTTCAGTTTGAACAATGCAACTAAGTATGATCCTCAAGGTATAACTGAACTCTGCAGTTGTCTGAGCACGCTCATCGTATGTTTCACCATGGGTATCGTCTTGTGTGTTTCACTAAATGGTTCACACTTGAATCAGAAGTTTCACTAAATGGTCAACACTTACAACAGTTTTCATTAAATGGTCCACACTTGAATCAGAAGTTTCACTAAATGGTCAACACTTGCAATAAGTTCACTAAATGGTCAACACTTGCATCAAGTTCACTAAATGGTCCACACTGGAATCAGAAGTTTCACTAAATGGTTCACACTTGAATCAGAAGTTTCACTAAATGGTCAACACTTACAACAGTTTTCATTAAATGGTCCACACTTGAATCAGAAGTTTCACTAAATGGTCCACACTGGAATCAGAAGTTTCACCAAATGATCAACACTTACAATATGTTTTCATTAAATGGTCCACACTGGAATCAGAAGTTTCACTAAATGGTCAACACTTGAATCAGAAGTTTCACTAAATGGTCCACACTTGAATCAGAAGTTTCACTATATTGTTAAAGAGACTAATTCAGGACAGCCATCGTCCAAATATTTAAAAACTAAAAACTATGTTGGGGTTGAGCAGAACTCCGCTCACCTCATTTATGTCTTGTGTATTTGTTTGTCATGTAACTAAAGAAGTTTGAGCTCAACATATTCCTTCGTCTTGTCAACGTATTGTACCTACACTTCGTCTTAAACATGAGTTAATTCCCCAGTCGACTCATATACGACGCGTTGACAATCTTCCGCTTGTTATTCCGTTCTTGTAAATAAAATTGTGACTAGCTTCTTGTGACTTCGGACTCTTTGCTGAGTTAATTCCCCCAAGCAGACCAGCACGCCAGTTAGATAAGGGGTTTCACCGGAACCATCACTTGGATCCAAGACCCATATCATAAATAGTTATTGTCAACGTGTCATATATGAGTCGACTAGGGAATTAACTCATGTTTAAGACGAAGTGTACGTACAATACGTTGACAAGACAAAGGAATATGTTGAGCTCAAACTTCTTTAGTTATATGACAAACAAATACACAAGACATAAATGAGGTGAGCGGAGTTCCTGCTCAACCCGAGGGCGTTTCCTACGAGCGGCATTCTCCTGCTTGTGGTTGTCCCTACAGACAGTCGGAATACCGGACTCGTACTACTCTTTCACTCTATAGATGTGAGCATACTAAGTATATATACAGTTTTTGACAACAATGGACAGGCGATGACTCAGCAATTGACAGATAGAAAAACAATAGCACTTCCTTGACTAGTTGATGTGATGGCAGACACGGCCAAGGGGGATGACCAATAAAAGTTATAAATGTCATATACAGTAATTAACTGCCTGACAAGTCAATGTACAATGCGGAAGTGATAAGGATTGCATAGAATACAGATTAACATCATATAAATAATTACAATAAAGTCTCACATGTCTTGAGTACATAGTTTATAAATATTTGGATGATGGCTGTCCTGAATTAGTCCCTATAACAATATGATCAACACTTATAATAGGTTTCCATTAGATGGTTAACACTTACAACATAAATTTCACTAAATGGTTAATGCTTGCAATAAACTTTCATCAAATGATCAAAACTTGCAAAGAGGCATCACTAAATGGTCAACACTTGCATCGTAGGTATCATTCACCAATGTTATGCAACACCCTTGAAATTATTTATCCAAATCAGCATCAATTTTCACAAGGTTAATGTATACAGAGTTTTGTTCTGTTCATTTTAATAACCACATACAGTATAAACCTGATAAGTAAAATTTCAAGGGACTCGCCAAAATTGTTTACTTATCAGGTATTTTACTTCTCCAAACTTATCAAAACCCGGAAATGACAACCACATGCATGTACGATGTACATGTATATGTATTCAGCAGAACAACAGACAACATTTGTAAGTAATATGACATGTTTTATTCCATAACATTTCATTGCGTTAAGTAATACATTTATAATACAAAGTAATAAAAATCAAACATAATGAAACAAAATATTTTAGTCTAACAGTCTAACTTTTTACTCCACAAAAGCTGTCATGAGGGATTGTCTCTTTGTGAAACATTTCTTCATTTCCTTCTCTGTAACATAGTTGGCCACCATGTTGTATCCTGTCATTACACTGTCTCCATCGTCGCCAGCAAGCTGTATGTAGGATGTTTGTTTAGCTGGAGACTGACACGTGCCCCTCATGTCGGATTATGTGGTGATCGCTAATTTAGTTATCCGGTCTCTTTTGTTAAGGAATTTACTTCCAGGGATAGTGAAAAACCTTTAGTTAAGCGGTATTGTTTACTTATCCGAGTTTAGTTAACCAGACTCTAATAATGACAATTAATGAAGAAATTTGCCGGGACCAAAGAATAGTGTTTACTTATCCGGTATGTTTAGTTAAGCGGTCTTTACTTAGGCGGTTTCCACTGTATGTGTCAGTTTCTTTAACTTGAAATAATGGTTTAAACCAATTATTTCACAATATATTCACAATTCAGTATCACAGAAATAACAATGCATATTTACCAATTGAAGGTCTCCAGAAATGTAGTGTCGTCTGCTCTTTGAATATCAGGTGAAGCTATCAATGATGACAAGTTTGGTATTCAATTTGGAGATAACAACGCTGTAAAATTCACTGCATCATAGTTGAAAGACCGAGAAATAGATTCTTTCATTTTTTCTGTGTAATTATTTCAACATTCATCAAAATCTTAATATGAAAACATGGCTAAAAATGGCTGTGTGTTCACTCTTTTATTCACAATGTTGGTCGAACGTTGAGCCAACTTTGTGAAATAGATGTAAGATCAGGGGAAGTTTTCAAATGTTGGCCCACTCTTTAACCAACGTGTCCAAAGCAACTGTTACTTTTAAGTCATTAAGATAATGTTGGGCCAATGTTGTCAAACCGTTGGCCAACCAACCAACCATATACCAACATTGGCCCAACAAGCCTTTGCTATGTGGGCACTTCTTTTTGAATAAGTCTAAATTAATCCTTTTGTGAATATCTCACAAAGATGTCCCAAACTTAGTAACATGATACACATAAATTTTATGACCTGAATATCATGGTGTGTTACAATAAATGAGGCAGCAATATCAGGACACACTACCAATGATTATTCTGTTACCATGGCTACTGTGTTGCAGGAGAAGGTGGCTGATGATCTGAATGAGCTCCAAGTGCTGCAGAAGCGGCTCCAGACACAGATGGAGGAGAGGAAGATGACACAGAAAGAGATCGAGGTGAGGATGCAGTGTATGAGTGAGTGAGGAATTAAAGTCACACTGATGTGTTTCAGTGAGTGAGTAAGTTTAGTTTTATGCCGCTTTTAGCAATATTCTAGCAATAGCAGAGAGGGGCACACCTGAAAAGGGCTCCGCATGCTATACCCATGTGGGGAGTCGAACCCAGGTCTTTGGCGTGACGAGCGAACGCCTTAACTACTAGGCTACCCCACCACCCCGATGTGTTTCAGACATATCATGTCTGTCAAAGGTTATGCATTTACGGTACAGAAGTACATTTGTATATTAACAGCAAAACTGACTCACTGATTAAGATATATATTCAAAACTAAACTAGTATTTTATCATCAAAAAGAGATTGCATTCGATCACCAGCTACCAAAGTCCCATTTAAGAGACCATAGGGATCAGGCAGTACCAGAAATGGAGTGAGTGAGAGAGTGAGTATCATTTTACGCTGCTTGTAGCAATATCCGACAAATATTAAAGCAGGCACTATCAGAAATGGAGTGAGTGAGTGAATATGGTTTTATGCAGCTTGTAGCAATATTACAGCAATATTAAAGCAGGCAGTATCTGAAATGGAGTGAGTGAGGTTTTACGTTCCATGCAGCAATATTCCAGCAATTTTAAAGCAGGCAGTATCAGAAATGGAGTGAGTGAGGTTTTACACGCCATTTAGCAATATTCCAGCAATATTAAAGCAGGCAGTACCAGAAATGGAGTGAGGATTTACACTCCATTTAGCAATATTCCAGCAATATTAATCAGGCAGTACCAGAAATGGAGTGAGTGAGGTTTTATGCTCCTTGGAGCGATATTCCAGCAATATTAAAGCAGGCAGTACCAGAAATGGAGTGAGTGAGGTTTTATACACTCCATGCAATATTCAGCAATATTCCAGCAATATTAATCAGGCAGTACCAGAAATGGAGTTTTGGGTGAGGTTTGTACACTCCATGCAGCAATATTCCTCTGAAACAATATTAATCAGGCAGTACCAGAAATGGAGTGAGTGAGGTTTACACTCCATGCAGCAATATTCCAGCAATATTAATCAGGCAGTAGCAGAAATGGAGTGAGATAGGTTTTACACTCCATGCAAAGGCAATATTCCAGACAATAGTTAATCAGGCAGTAGCAGAAATGGAGTGAGTGAGGTTTTACACTCCATGCAGCAATATTCCAGCAATTTTAAAGCAGGCAGTGCCAGAAATGGAGTGAGTGAGGTTTTACACTCCATTTGCAGCAATATTCAATAGCAATATTTTCAATCAGGCAGTTTGCCAGAAATGGAGCTTATCTGAGGTTTTACACTCCATGCAGCAATATTCCAGCAATATTAATCAGGCAGTACCAGAAATGGAGTGAGTGAGGTTTTACACTCCATGCAGCAATATTCCAGCAATATTAATCAGGCAGTACCAGAAATGGAGTGAGTGAGGTTTTACACTCCATGCAGCAATATTCCAGCAATATTAATCAGGCAGTACCAGAAATGGAGTGAGTGAGGTTTTACACTCCATGCAGCAATATTCCAGCAATATTAATCAGGCAGTAGCAGAAATGGAGTGAGTGAGGTTTTACACTCCATGTAGCAATATTCCAGCAATATTAAAGCAGGCGATACCAGAACTTCACACATCGTGCCCATGTGGGGAATCAAACCCAGGTATTTTACATGAGGAATGAAAGCTCTAACAACTAAGCTACGCTACCACCCGCTATAGTATAATATGAACTGAAATGGTCAGTGGTAAGATGGGGTTTAATGTGGGGTTAAGATTATATCACTCATATATATAGTGATGTGTGTGTGTGTGTTTGGGTGAAGCTGACAATACGAATCCTGATTAATGATAGTATTATATTACAATCTGACTCGGATTGCATGCCACAGTTCATATACTACCCATCAAAAGTTTAGACTCACTTAAAACACTCACTATATGTTATGTATATATATGTAGTTACATCGAAGATGGGGGCGGTGGGGTAGCCTTGTGGTTAAAGCATTGGCTCGTCACGCCGAAGACCCGGGTTCGAATCCCCACATGGGTACAATTTGTGAAGCCCATTTCTAGTGTCCCCCGCCGTGATGTTGCTGGAATATTGCTTAAAGCGGCGTAAAACCAAATTCAGTCAGTCAGTACATCGAAGATGAATTTCTCCACTAACTTAAGAGAACCAACTGCAAACCTTATGCAGATGAATTGTACGAGGATAATGCATCAAATTGCTGAAATGCATGTGCAAATGTCGTGCATGTGAACAGCTGCGTTTTGGTGTAAAGTTTTGTTAAGAATTCGCCAATTTTCACTGAGTTTCATCATTTATTGAACTCGTGACAATAATCTTTTCAACGTTACGAATTTGTTTTACAATACATCAGTTCATGTGTAAACAGTACCCTTAAACTGTATAGAATATTTTGCAAAATTTAATTTAGATCAGTTGACTGAAGTGAGTGGCAACATTTACACTAGTGAGTCTAAACTTTTGATGGGGAGTATATATGCTGACTTACATATGCTGACTCCGAGCCGACAAGTCCTTGTTTCATCCCGTTAATGCAAAGTGCCAGGCAGGGTAAGAAGTAATGGCTGTTTTCAACAAGGTCAAGGTTGATTGACCACATTTCGGTCTGAGAAAAGCAGATTCACAAAATAGTTGGTACAAATTTGGATCTTGGTGGGGCATGGTGGGCATGCTGGCAAAGGCGCCAGGCTGGTGATCCAGTGAGCTTGAGGTGTCGGGATTAAGCCCACCTACTGGTGTAAAAACCGTGGAGTCAACTTTGTGTTGTCACAAGCCCTAGTGTACAGTACACAACCCTGTGCACTTAAAGAACCCACAAATCTGTTGGTATATGACCAGATGGTGGCCACATTAATACGTGCAAACACCTAGTTGCGGGTACAGCAACGTGCAGTAAATCTTGGACAAAGTACTGTGACTATGTGTCCCAGTCCACCCAGATGTGATTGGGTACCTAGTAAGGATGAGAAAGTCGCATTAACTCGGTGAGCCTAGTGGTTGCAAGAATTGTATGCTCCCCAGGGAGTTGAGATTAGTAATGCGATGTGCCATTGAGATTGGCATCCGGTGATCAAGGGAAAATACCAGCACCTTGAGCATGTACTAGTTGCGAGGATATGTGCGCTGTATAAATATCCTATAATAATAGTCCTATAATAATAATAAATCTTTTGAGCCTTAAAAGGTTGACTTCTAGAAAGGAACTATAAGCATTTGAAAACAAAATATAAACATGATGAACTTGGTGTGAACTGGCCATCCCTGACAGAGACACATCTGCTGGTCAGTGGATACATAACTTGTACTGGTCAGTATTGTGTGGATGTTGTCTTGATTGTGACTCTGATGTTGTTTCAGTTGTCCAACAAGAAGATGTGTGCCGAGATAGACGGGGCATTTCAGCAGCTTCAGACCGTGCTGCATGGTAAGCTGTTTCTGAAACAGGATGGGAAGAATATTTGTGTTATTTTTTGTTGTTGTATAATGCTACATTCAGCATTATTCCAGCATTATGGCGTCAGTCAGTAAATAATCGAGTCTGGATCAGGCAATCCAGTGACTAACAGCATGAGCATCGATATACTCAATTGGGATATGATGACATGTGTCTACCAAGTCAAAGTTGCCTTTTATGACCAAGCCCTAGATTTTCGAAGCTCTCTTAGCGCTAAGATAATCGTAAGTTAATGTTAATGTATGGCACTTACGACTATCTTAGAGCTAAAGAGCTTCGAAAATCTAGGCCCTGATTTTTAAACTTATCCTATCTCATGGTATATGGTTCTCTCTCTACTTCGACCAAGGTGTGGAAACGTGTGGTAGGCTAAGTTGAACCAAATCTTCTGGCCAAACTTTCAATATTTTCAACGGGAAATACTAAATTATTATAAAGCCACAAAATATATTGCCTTTTCAAATGCGAGGCAAACACAATTTTATACTTTTTGGTCTTCCTTCCATACACTCTTTTCGAATTTCATTACCCATGATGTATCTATATAAACAATCGTATATATATATGTAAGTGTATATATATATATATATGTATGTGTATGTATGTATGATTATGTATGTGTACATGAGGTATATATATGGAGTACGTGCATGTATATGGAAATGTATACAACTTAATACAAGCAATGTACAGCGTCTCTTATTATGTATCAGCTAAGTAATGAATATGACTGTATATTATAACATGTAAAAATTACATTTCATCTTGAAATATGATGTACAACATACTGATGGGAAATAAAAATACATAAGAAAAAAATAATAATCTTCTGGCCTCTCTCCCACCCGACCGCTTCCCCCTCTCCTACAGCTGGACCTGTCTTGGTTGAAGTAGAGAGAGAAGTGCACACTGTGAGATAGAATAAGTACATCAATGTACAATTTATAGTTAAAATTTCCAATTCTAACCCGGATGGAAAGTAAAGTGTCCTTATATTGTTTTACTGTAAGCTGGGACACCTTAATGACTGGTTGTACCTGACTCTCTGACATTCATTGACAATATGACCCTCTTTTGTGTAGGTGGGCGGTGGGGTAGCCTAGTGGTTAAAGCGTTGGCTCGTCACGCCACATGGGCACAATGTGTTAAGCCCATTTTTGGTGTCCCCCGCCGTGATATTGCTGAAATATTGCGAAAAGCGGAGTAAAACTAAACTCAGTCAGTCAGTTGTGTAGGTTACAGGATGTGACTGGTTGTACCTGACTCTCTGACACTCATTGACAATATGACCCTCTTTTTTGTAGGTTACAGGATGTGACTGGTTGTACCTGACTCTCTGACACTCATTGACAATATGACCCTCTTTTGTGTAGGTTACAGGATGTGACTGGTTGTACCCGACTCTCTGACACTCATTGACAATATGACCCTCTTTTGTGTAGGTTACAGGATGTGACTGGTTGTACCTGACTCTCTGACATTCATTGACAATATGACCCTCTTTTGTGTAGGTTACAGGATGTGACTGGTTGTACCTGACTCTCTGACATTCATTGACAATAAGACCCTCTTTTTTGTAGGTTACAGGATGTGACTGGTTGTACCTGACTCTCTGACATTCATTGACAATATGACCCTCTTTTGTGTAGGTTACAGGATGTGACTGGTTGTACCCGACTCTCTGACATTCATTGACAATATGACCCTCTTTTGTGTAGGTTACAGGATGTGACTGGTTGTACCTGACTCTCTGACATTCATTGACAATATGACCCTCTTTTGTGTAGGTTACAGGATGTGACTGGTTGTACCTGACTCTCTGACATTCATTGACGAAATGACCCTCTTTTGTGTAGGTTACAGGATGTGACTGGTTGTACCTGACTCTCTGACATTCATTGACAATATGACCCTCTTTTGTGTAGGTTACAGGATGTGACTGGTTGTACCCGACTCTCTGACATTCATTGACAATATGACCCTCTTTTTTTGTAGGTTACAGGATGTGACTGGTTGTACCTGACTCTCTGACATTCATTGACAATATGACCCTCTTTTGTGTAGGTTACAGGATGTGACTGGTTTTACCTGACTCTCTGACATTCATTGACAATATGACCCTCTTTTGTGTAGGTTACAGGATGTGACTGGTTGTACCCTGACTCTCTGACATTCATTGACAATATGACCCTCTTTTGTGTAGGTTACAGGATGTGACTGGTTGTACCTGACTCTCTGACATTCATTGACAATATGACCCTCTTTTGTGTAGGTTACAGGATGTGACTGGTTGTACCTGACTCTCTGACATTCATTGACAATATGACCCTCTTTGTGTAGGTTACAGGATGTGACTGGTTGTACCTGACTCTCTGACATTCATTGACAATATGACCCTCTTTTGTGTAGGTTACAGGATGTGACTGGTTGTACCTGACTCTCTGACATTCATTGACAATATGACCCTCTTTTGTGTAGGTTACAGGATGTGACTGGTTGTACCTGACTCTCTGACATTCATTGACAATATGACCCTCTTTTGTGTAGGTTACAGGATGTGACTGGTTGTACCTGACTCTCTGACACTCATTGACAATATGACCCTCTTTTGTGTAGGTTACAGGATGTGACTGGTTGTACCTGACTCTCTGACACTCATTGACAATATGACCCTCTTTTGTGTAGGTTACAGGATGTGACTGGTTGTACCTGACTCTCTGACACTCATTGACAATATGACCCTCTTTTGTGTAGGTTACAGGATGTGACTGGTTGTACCTGACTCTCTGACACTCATTGACAATATGACCCTCTTTTGTGTAGGTTACAGGATGTGACTGGTTGTACCTGACTCTCTGACACTCATTGACAATATGACCCTCTTTTTGTGTAGGTTACAGGATGTGACTGGTTGTACCTGACTCTCTGACACTCATTGACAATATGACCCTCTTTTGTGTAGGTTACAGGATGTGACTGGTTGTACCTGACTCTCTGACACTCATTGACAATATGACCCTCTTTTGTGTAGGGTTACAGGATGTGACTGGTTGTACCCTGACTCTCTGACACTCATTGACAATATGACCCTCTTTTGTGTAGGTTACAGGATGTGACTGGTTGTACCTGACTCTCTGACACTCATTGACAATATGACCCTCTTTTGTGTAGGTTACAGGATGTGACTGGTTGTACCTGACTCTCTGACACTCATTGACAATATGACCCTCTTTTGTGTAGGTTACAGGATGTGACTGGTTGTACCTGACTCTCTGACACTCATTGACAATATGACCCTCTTTTGTGTAGGTTACAGGATGTGACTGGTTGTACCTGACTCTCTGACACTCATTGACAATATGACCCTCTTTTGTGTAGGTTACAGGATGTGACTGGTTGTACCTGACTCTCTGACACTCATTGACAATATGACCCTCTTTTGTGTAGGTTACAGGATGTGACTGGTTGTACCTGACTCTCTGACATTCATTGACAATATGACCCTCTTTTTTGTAGGTTACAGGATGTGACTGGTTGTACCTGACTCTCTGACATTCATTGACAATATGACCCTCTTTTGTGTAGGTTACAGGATGTGGTTGTACTGGTTGTACCAGGATGTGACTGGTTGTACTGACTCTCTGACATTCATTGACAATATGACCCTCTTTTTGTGTAGGTTACAGGATGTGACTGGTTGTACCTGACTCTCTGACACTCATTGACAATATGACCCTCTTTTGGTAGTAGGTTACAGGATGTGACTGGTTGTACCTGACTCTCTGACACTCATTGACAATATGACCCTCTTTTGTGTAGGTTACAGGATGTGACTGGTTGTACCCTGACTCTCTGACATTCATTGACAATATGACCCTCTTTTGTGTAGGTTACAGGATGTGACTGGTTGTACCTGACTCTCTGACATTCATTGACAATATGACCCTCTTTTGTGTAGGTTACAGGATGTGACTGGTTGTACCTGACTCTCTGACATTCATTGACAATATGACCCTCTTTTGTGTAGGTTACAGGATGTGCAGGGTTACGCACCCCCCTTTTGTGCTGAAAGTTTGTTAAATGACCATTGAAACTCGGGTGAATAGTGTGCCCTTCCCCCCTTTCTCAAAAAGCTGTATCCGCCACTGTGTGTGAGTTGGTTACTTGATCAGTCCTCACTCACTCACTCATACACATATAACTTACTCACCTATCAGTCACTTACTCATTCACCTATAACTCACTCACTCATACACATATAACTCACTCATTCACACAACTATAACTCTCACTCACTCACCTGTCACTCATTTGTTCACCTATAACTCACACCTATAACTCACTCACTCACTCACTCATACACATATAACTCACTCACTCTCACTCACCAGTTCACTCATCTGTGAACTGTTCATTTCAATGGTAGCGTTACTGTTGAGTTAGCTATGACTATATGAACTGGTCACTTGATCATTTCTTGCTTACCCACCTCATCCATCACTCACTCACTCACTACCTACCTCACCCAACGTTCACTCACTCACTCATTTGTCTATCGCTCACTCGCTGTCCCACCCACCCACGCTCTTGCTGGCTCACTCGCTCGCTCACTCTCACTCACCTATCAGTCATACCCGAATAACTCACTCACTCATTCACCAATCAGTCATAGCCGTATAACTCACTCACTCACTCACTCACTCACTCACTCACTCACTCACTCACTCACCTATCAGTCATACCCATATAACTCACTCACTCTATATATGTTTCAGATAAAAAGGAAGAAATAAAAAAACACTTGACGACATATCATGAGGAGAACCTAGACTGTCTGAGATCGGACCTGAAAACCCTGGAGGAGAAGTACATGAACTCGACACGGATGATCCAGAAGGTGATAGCATGTACGACAAAGCCGCAGCGCAGCGTCAAGGAGATGCTGGATCTGCCACAACAGTGAGTCTCCCCGCTCTTTGTGATTATGTAACAGCTTCCTCAAGGATAAACATTACTTTTTGGTTTGTTTTGTTGTTTAACGCCGCACTCAGCAATATTCCAGCTATATGACGGTTGTCTGTAAATAATCAAGTCTGGATCTTACAATCCAGTGATCAACAGTAAGAGCATCATTAATCCAGGCAATTTGGATTTGATGACATTGATCCAACAAGTCAGTGAGCCTGACCACCCGATCCCATTAGTCGTCTCTTACTACAAGCAATGGTTACAGAAGACTGATTCTAGTAAACATTACTAGTGGTTTATAGGAAATATATTGAGTGGATGAATGGATCAGGGTGGCGGGATCCCTACTAGGCAGATGCATATCTACACAGCAAATTAGGCCTCTTATGACCAATGCAGGCTTTTAGGTAGGGTTGGTGTAAAAGATTGATAAGCAGAAATATATATGGGAAAGATTATTTATTTTTATCGATATGAATATTGTGTCATCAATATTATTGTACATAAACTCTTGTGATGAAATAAGGTTATAATTTCTCAGACGATACACAGAGTTAGGTCTTTGTTCATGGACTGTTTCTAAATTATATTCTGTTGGTGATCTGTATTTTTATTTTGTACTGTCTATAGTGATTTAATTTTACGATAGCATACTAGTCTTAAATTTATATAGCTGTGATACTCTAGTATTTTTACTGTCGTTCGATGACAGGTTTTTACGTTATACATTTATTGATTTGAATATTGCTATAAACTGTTCTCGTCACGATATGGCCGCAATATTCCCAATGTGACGTTAAATTTTAACTCACTCACTCACTCTAAATTATATTCACAGTGTTGCATCCAGACTGCATGCTTGCAGTATTCCCCTGTATTAACGTACATCTCCCGCAAAAATGTAAATCGATGCGCGACCTGTCACGCGATATAAATGACCACGTCATATTGTGTCAACTCACGCACCTGCGTAACATGTGTGGGTCTTTTTTATGCATTTACTTTTTGTAAATCAAAAGTGTCTTTGGTAAATATACTATTAAAAAAGAAAAGAAATGTCTAACCCAGAAATCTGTTGCGAAAATGTTGTATTTTTAAACATGTATAACTCGTCCACAAATAGAGTTTAGTACATGAATTTTTACATCTGTTTAGAACAAGGTAATGTCTATACAACCAAGTGGATAATTTTAGTTAACAGAGACGTTGAGTGTGATGGTGATGACGTAGCACGGTCCCGATGTTGGATCTCATGACTCGCAGTCCAATCTCTCTCAACCTGTCCTGTACCGTTTGACCGGATATCCTCAAAAGTCCAGGCACCCTGGCTGCTGTGCTCTCACCCGTGGCAGTACGATCACGCAAATGTAGTACCCGGATGTACAGATCTTGGGCTGCAGTGATGACTCGAGGTCTGCCTGTACAGGGACGGTCTTTTGTTATACCTGTTTGGTTGTAACGAGCTGCAAGCCGTAATATCGTGCTCAGACTAACACTCACACGCCTGGCAAGAGAAGACTGGTAATCTCCAGCATGCATTCTTTCAATGGTGATGTTCCGTATAGCAGCGTCAAGACGTGGCGTAGTGATTTGACCTTGAAACTTCTTGAAAACAAATATCGATTTCCGAAAGTAATCTGGATTTTTATAGCCAGACAGTGCATGCTCTTTGCTGCACAATTTCAACTGGAAGGTGATTTCTGTTGCGTTCTGGCAATGCCTTTTTAATCCTTGTGAGAAATCTCATGAAAATCAACATTTTCAGGTAAAGTCGATTTTTGACTTGTACAATTGTGTAAAATCATGTTATCAACACTTTTGTTACATATTTTGACGATTGTTCGAACACAATAGGTAATTAATAGATTTTTAAAATACAAAATGCCTATGCATTTCTTTTGTGGGATAGTATATATAAACAAGACTGTGAATCATGTTGATAAACTCTTCCATTTGTTAAACCAAACCAGTTTCATCATTCTCCCAAATCGGTTTCTTGACCTTCTATTTTCGGTTTTGCATACATTAATGTAAGGTATACTCCGTAGGTTTACTTCAGCCAATCAGGTGCTGCATATTAAGCAGCTCGGCGATGTTCTTAATTTCTTTAGCTTGATGATTGGTCAAAAACATAATGACCTCGTGTCAACCTAAAAATAGCCTGGCACACCAATGGTATACTTCAGAACGGGTGACAGGGCGAACAATACACCAAAGTGCTGTCACATAACATTAGTTATGATAATAAAGATATTACGTTGATGGAGCAAAACCAATTACACAATGCTAGAATTTAATTTTTTTTCTTGATGAAATAACAGTTTCAGATACTATATTTTTCCAATCACTGCATCAGAATTCATCTAAAAAATCACCGGTAGATTGCGGCGGACGTGTACACAGCTGATTGCTATTCCCAGCTCTGTATCCGAGACAGACAAAGTGAATCAGTTAATGAATCTCCAAATTGAGGGGCCCAGATCTAAGGAATTTCCCTATGATGCTGCTGTTGTTGGGAAGCTAAGAAAGAGAGACGTTTATTTCACAAGTGTTGAGCCAAAGGCCAGGTAAGAAAACTCATGTGAATAGTTAAAGGTCACATGCAACGTAAAACACAACTTTGCAGATTCTGATACCTTTCGGGGTATGGACTTACCGAAACAAATCATCAAAAATGCACATTCAACTTTTAAGTTGAAAATAGCGCGATTAAAAAGACGCGCGAAATCGGAGTTCAAAGGATTCACTAATTTTCCCCCAGCGCCTGGGGGAAAAAGTGGTTTTCAACAGCTGGGCTGCGCTCATAGCACATGCGCAGTGAAATAGGTTCGCGCAGCTTGGAAGCGGGTTGTGAGCAGGAGTAGTCTAATCAAAACAAGTAGTAAATAATCTACTCATTACATAAAAGAACCTTGTTGGGATTTAGATCTACTCAGTTATGTGTCAACCAGTGAGGCGTTCGACATTTCAAGACGGAAAACCTTCGCTGGCGGTGAAGGCTTTGGTGTGAGCTACTTTTCTAATGTTTTGTTGATATTTCACAGGTGCGAACTTTTTATATGTTATGACAGTAGATTACCGATTTAACTGTTTATATAATTTCACGTGTCTATTTCACCACACGTTCTTCTTACCGAGTCACTTTCGCAGTTCGATACTTAAAAGCAATGTCATTATTTAGCGTTGACAGAATTTCTAACTGTGATATAGATATGTCGTTGTCACAGACAAAACTCAATGTCTTGTTTTATTGACACCTTTGTGTCTGCCTGCCTGTCTGCTAATGACAATATTCAATACACAACTTCGATCACTGAACACGTGAAATTTGAACTTAACACCTATCAGGCTATACACCATAAACAATATGCATTGATTTATGACCCGATTTCGGCCTCTGTCACATTATGTAATTACACAGACAGGCAGGTGTAATACTTGTACACATGACATGTTATGATGTCTGTTGATTGCAAAATGTTATACACAAAAAATGAGCATGTATTTACAAAACCCAACATCTCTATATATACCAGTACACACACAATGAGCCGTGAGGGCATCGGCAAATGAACCAGCCGTTACACTTGAGTGCACACCCACCCACTCTGACTGGGTTCGGTATCCCGGGTGCTTCGTTTCGAGGGAAGTAAACCCAAGTACAAAATATTGCACTTTTGATTTGTGATTGTACACTTATAATTGTGTTTATATCTTTTTTCATAATCAGCAATGTACATTATATGTCATTAATAATTGATTATTGTGTTTTAATCATGTTTGATTTTTTGGTTACATGTGATCTTGAAGATGATTGTGTCGGCACCAGCATTACAGTAAATACCGATCTTTAGTCAATATGTGATCCCCCTGCTTGGTAGGGCTGGGCGATAATACCGGTTAACCGGTATATCGCAATTCGAACTTCGCAATACGATATATTGCGGTACACTTTTCGCGAACCGGTTCACCCGATACAATCGGCAATTTCCGTGATCATGATCGCTTATTTTCGTGATGTAGTTAAAAATACTAATAAGATGTGTATTTTCTTTATATCATTATACATTAATAGTTTTGAGAATGTTTATTGGTCAATCACATCTGTGTCCTGACAGTGGCCAGTGGCATTGTTTCAAATGAAAGGAAGACAGGAATTTCATCACCTTAGTTAACCCATTCAACACCACAGGCCGGAAACTGGCCAAGACATCACAAGTCCCCAGACACTGAAAGGCAGGTAAACCGGCCTGGCAGTAGGCACATCAAAATGGTATATAATTTTAGGAACCTACCTAACATATGATTCACTTATTAAATATGTCACTTTTCACAATGTCTGAAAATACTTATTACATTTCAAAAGAACATATATTATCGACAGAATTAGAATTATAAACTATTTTTTGCAATGTTATTGAAAACAAAAAAAGATTCGGCAACGGGTCCATATCAAAGTTGTCAAAGAGCAAAGTAACGATGTTTCGAGGAAATAATTAAACAAATTAAATAAACTAAAGAATAAAATCAAGAACAGTACTCATAAAAGTTGTCAACGTACATTATAAGTTACTATTTTCCATCTTTTTGAGTGCGATCATGAAATGTAAGCCAAATAACATTTCGGCTTTCGTCGCCTCGAACTTCATGTTTGCACGCGATGTTTAATGCTAAAATATATGCTTGAAGCATTTTTGTCACAGGTTATAACCAAGCACGATGTGACAACTAAGTTCCATAAGGTGGTGATTTTGTGCGTAACCCGTTCAGAATAGGATGATTTTACCCCAAACTTTCGTCTAAATCTAAAATTTTCGTTGACGAGGACAGTATCCATTGCTGTAATAATATTGGTTGCCTTAGCTCAAGTGCATGATTTTGACCAATCATGAGCCTTATCATGATATCTTATCATTCTGGCAAGCCGGTGGCAACTCGTACCTTGTGGCCATGTTCACGACTAGTCTAGGAATAAGAAAAGCAAGATTTATGGATGTCAACTTCTTTATTGTGGACAACACGACGTTTCGGAGTCTCTGGGAACTCAGTGTCATGGCAGTAAAAGCCACTGTTTGACTGGTGTTGAAAGAGCTAAACCATGTGTCACACTATCACAATATATTGCAATACGGCAACACATATTGCAATACGCCAACACATATCGCAATATATCGCAATACAAAATTTGGCTGATACCCAACCCTACTGCTTGGTGTCAGGGCCCCTCCTTTTGTAACAGTTAAGGGGGATGTCCTCCTTAATCACAAATTCCTGGATGCAACACTGTATTCAAGGCAGTGTTTTGTTAGTAATCAAAGCCTAAATATATTGATGATTATCGATATTTTATATCAGTTTATATCGATAACCAGTCCTACTTTCAAGGAACAAAGTTTCCAAAGTCCTTAACACTTTTTACTAGTCACAGGCTGGCAGGCTAGCGTTTTCATGTTCTGTTGCATTACAGACTGAAGGACATGGTGAACCAGTCACAGCTGTTGGGCAGTCTTGACAATGTAGATATCCTTAAGGCGGAAAACAAGTTTGCAAAGGTGTTGCCCTCTTTGGAGGCTGTAGCCAACATATGTCGGACTCTTCACCCAGAAGGTGAGTCACAGACGGCAGATTTTTGAAAATGTGTTTATTTCCAGCTCCTCTGACACAGTAATTGTGTTTTTATAAAATCTTTATTGGGAAAACTATTGTTTTATATGTATTGTTTTATCAGGACAGCAGTTGTGGTCAAAATGCAAAAGAGTATTTGTTAATGGCCAATGCATGAAAGGGAGGTAACTCTCATTCTGCATGTTGCAACTTTATAACACATAATATATTTAAAATTTTGGATTCAGTTAGCATTTGATAGGATATTTTCAAAATGTTATTAACCTTGCACAGACATTTTCATGATTTTGTCAACACTTGACGGGAAATTTCCATGATTTTGTCAACACTTGAAGCAACATTTTCTTGATTCATTTGACCTGTGTCAGGCCAATACTGGAAAGCCACCTCACTTATATTGCATCATATGATTGAAATAATCTTGAAGACATTCAATACTCTTTTCCTTCTTGCCAATTGCAAGAGGTTCTATTTGATTCCATTTAAAATGACATGATGCTAAAAATTAAGGTCCAATCAACATGCACTTTTCTGTGATGATTTATGCAAGCAACAGTATCACCAGTACTTGTTTTTCGACTTTTGCTTGTCTTTGCAAATATTCAGCAAACCCTGTAGCTTATTACTTCTCCCTTGTACTCAGGAAAATGTTTTTTCTGTTAAAAATTGTCTTGTTATTTGTGTTAATTATCTTCAGGGTCTGTTACTTTTATGTTGATCTATGGGCAACTTGTGTTGATGTGATTCACTCTTGAATCAGACCACCTCCGTGGTGTAGTGTTTAGAGTGTCCGCCCGAGAGAGCGGAAGGTCGCAGGTTCGATACCCAGACGTATCATGCCAATTAAAATATGGTACTTGTTGGTCCCTGCCTGGCGCTCGACATTAATGGGTACAAGAAGGACTGGTCAGCTCGGATTCAGTATAATGTGTCTGAGTGGGGTATTCATGCTTAACTGTGGCATGGTATCTCAGTGAGCTAGCACTATAAAACCAGCTTAAGTCGGGGCTAGTACACGTCGTCATATGAGCGAAATAGTCTTAAGTGCGACATTAAACCCTATTTCACCTTATAGTCTCTAAATTAATCATAGTCTCTAAATTAATCATTTGAAACCTCATGCTACGCGTTTGGCTTCAAATGAAATTTAGAGACTATCATCATTATTCGTAGTTTCAGTTGTATTGCAATATTTGTACTTTTACATGTGAAACTATTTACACAGATAAAAACTTGCAAGAAAAAAATAAAAAAAATAAATAAATATAGAGACTATCAATTTGGCCTAACATTCATCTAATTTCCAAACACAGTACGTTTACCTCCTAAATAATTCTACCCTTTATGATTCTGTGGTTACATAAGGTTGTACATGTCTTTTTGGTTTTTTCCAGCGACGAAGGTGGTGTGGAGTAAGGTGACCCCTGAGAGGAAGGACAACGGTACATTATCCAGTAGTATGTTCCTTCCTCTTTATACACAAAGAGTTTCGTGAAATCATTAATCTATTTTGAACTATTGTCTGTCGATACAGTAAGGCGATGTACAGTCACATCGAATTGTCTCGAATTCCTGAGTACCAGAGAAATCATTAGAACTTTAGATATGAACTTAATGTAATATCTGAATTAGTTTTGGACACATTCACCTTGGCAGTACTACTGTCTGACCAATAGGGCTGGCTAAAATTATCATTAATCGGAAATGTCGTCGAGATAGGCAAGATTATTGTGTTATCAATGATATCAATTACTTTTGTGATAGAAATAAGGTTTAATTTTCTCACACAATATATGAATTTAGGACTTTATTCCAGGGGTGGAAATAACTTTAGAATTGCTAGTGTACTCCGGTACAGTGGCACATGTAAAATCACTTGCCCTGATCATTTTTCCACTGTACAGGCCGTTTTCTTGTTGATTTATTAAATAAACAACATTATTAACATTGGAAAGTCAACTGGACACCGGTACAGCGTGATATACAATTTGCTTGCCCGACAGATAAAAACACTGGACTCGGACGTCGGGCAATGGGTTATTTCCACCATGGTCTGCTTCTAAGTTATGTTCAGGATGCTGTTTTGTTGATAATCCATGCAAGCCATCAACCAACAGAAAGTAAACACTCTGCATTGTGCATTTGTTTTCATATATCACTGGATCGTCATGAGATCACATGACATATCACCTAAACATGTATGTATGGGATCTGGGTTAGAATTGGTCTTCAGTAACCCATGCTTGTTGTAAGAAATAACGAGCGGGATCAGGTGATCAGATTCTAACTTGGTTGACACATGTCATCGTAACCGATTGCATAGATCAGTGCTCATGCTGTTGATCCCTGGATTGTCTGGTCCAGACCCGATTACTTGCTAACCAGCCATAGCTAAGATATTGCTGAGTGCGGCATTAAACAACAAACTAACAAAACTGCTGTTTGGTATGATTTTACCATTAAAGAGCTTTTGAGTTCCATTAAACCAGCTCACTGATAACTTGAATATATGTGACTTTCAGGTTTAAAGAGAAAGTCAAGTTCAGCCTTTAAAACAATGAAAAGAATAAAATCCTCATCTTCTCCTAAACCCATGGAATCGGCCATGCATCCAAAGTCTCTCCCAGAGCCGACACCAGGTGCAGAGGTGGCAACACATCCAGTTACACCCTTCTCAAAGTCTCCATCACGGACAAAGCCACCAAACTCACCAGCAACACCACTGACAGCATCAGCAAAAACGCCTGCATCAGTAACAACACCAGCTGGCACTCTTAGTCCCAGGACAGTTCCACATGCAGTACAGGACTCGGTGGAGCAAAACACGTCACGGCTGCCTGAGTAAGTCTCATGATGATGATGATCCAATAATGATGATGATGATGATGATGATGATGATGGTGATGATGATGATGATGATGATGATGATGATGATCCATAAGTAAATCTGATGATGATGCTTTAGTACGTCATGATGATGATGATGATGATGATGCTGATGCTTTAGTAAGTCTGATGATGCTGTCTTAGTAATTCTGATGTTGATGATGCCTTAGTAATGATGATGATGATGATGATGATGTTGTTTCTGCAGTAGCAGTACAGGCACACCTGTTGCAGCCAACAAGGAGTATAAACTCATCAATCTGGAGCTGGTGCAAGTTGTGCAAGGTGAGGGACCTTCTCTGTCTAGTGCTTAGTGGTCCAATGCTACGTATGGGCTTGACCAGAACAATGACTATGAACATTACATATGTCATCACGACCCGTGAAGATCCGGGGTAGAATAGGTCTTCAGCAACCCAGGCTTGCCACAAAAGGCGACTATGCTTGTCGTAAGAGGCGACTAACGGGATCGGGTGGTGAGGCTCGCTGACTTGGTTGACACATGTCATCGGTTGCCAATTGCGCAGATCGATGGTCATGCTGTTGATCACTGGATTGTCTGGTCCAGACTCGATTATTTACAGACCTCTGCCATATAGCTGGAATATTGCTGAGTGCGGCGTAAAACTCAACTCACTCACTCACATATGTCATCACACGTATTCATCTGAATAAAAACTTGCAAAAAAGTCTAAATTTTACGGATCCATTCCATTGTCTCAAAACATACAAGGTAGAATGGCGGAAAAGTGAAACTCACAAATCCATTTGGATCTGCTGTTTGTCTGACTTCATGATGATGATGATGATGATGATAGAATGGCGGAAAAGTGAAACTTACAAATCCATTTGGATCCACTGTTTGTCTGACTTCATGATGATGATGATGATGATGATGATGATGATGATGATGAACTGACTTTATGTAGAATACATCATCCTGATATGAGGCTTGGAACCTACATCAAAGCCAAGTGTATTGTGATGATTAACCAAGTGGTCACACTTTCATTCTGAAAATGGGAAAAATGCACAGCGACAGCTATTTCCAGACCTTTCAGGGCATTTGTTTGGCAAGATGAAGCGATGGGAAAGAAATGCAACTTTCCTTGCAATAGTGGGAAACATTAGAAAAAGTACTTTCCTGTTATCAATGAAAAACTTTCGAAAAGATACTTGTCTTGCAAGAGTGAAAGCATTTGAAAAACTACTCTCCTTCCAACCGTGTAAACATATTGAAAAACTGCTTTCCTTGGAACTGTCCAAATTATTAGAACACTTATTATGGATAACAAATGCAAGGTCTAGTATAAATACCATGACAAAGGTTTGATCTTGATCAGCTGTTTTTGTGAAACAGTATCAGATATTAGAAAACCATTTTTCTCTGTGTTAGAGGCAAAAAAATAGGAAAACTACTTTCCTTCCAACAGTGGGAAGAATTTAAAGAAACAGCTTTATGCACAAGAAAACTACTTTCTTAGCACCTACTTGTAATAGTTAAGAGAAGTGCAGCATACCTTATGATGACTCCGCTCCTCTAGCCCCCATCCCCCTAGCCCCCTGTTGTTACAAGCCACTAATTAGTACCTCCAGCCCCTCCCTGGCTGTTCTGTTAGCTGTACTCACGGTGTCCTCCCACTTCGCCTAATTTTAACCCATTAGGTACGGAAAATGTTTTAGGCAATGTGGGTATGTAACGCCTGGATGATTACTAATGAGTAGGCGAAGTGGGAATGGGAGAGTCCACAGGTAGTGATCAGAGGGGTGTTCAAAGAATGACAAATGCGAATGACCTTTTTATATATACAGTGGAAACCTGATAAGTAAAATTTCAAGGGACTTGCCAAAATTGTTTACTTATCAGGTATTTTACTTCTCCAAACTTATCAAAACCCGGAGATGACAACCACATGCATGTACGATGTACATGTATATGTATTCAGCAGAACAACAGACAACATTTGTAAGTAATATGACATGTTTTATTCCATAACATTTCATTGAGTTAAGTAATACATTTACAATACAAAGTAATAAAAATCAAACATAATCAAACAAAATATTTTAGTCTAACAGTCTAACTTTTTACTCCACAAAAGATGTCATGAGGGATTGTCGCTTTGTAAGATATCAAGTCATTCATCATGCAAACTGTATAAACTCACTGTCATTGCTGATTGGTCTACTCACTGACACTCGCAAGCTACATAAAACAATGAACAACTTATCAGGGCTGGCCTCCAGTTGTCAGTGTGTATTGTCAACTGCATGACGCCAGCGAGCTGTAAGTAGGATGTTTGTTTAGCTGGAGACTGACACGTGCCCCTCAAGTCGGATTATGTGGTGATCGCTAATTTAGTTATCCGGTCTCTTTTGTTAAGGAATTTACTTCAAGGGATCGTGAGAAAACGTTAAGTTAAGCGGAATTTACTATTGTTTACTTGTCCGCGTTTAGTTATCCAGTCTCTTTTGTTATGGAATTTACTTCAAGGGATCGTGAGAAAATGTTAAGTTAAGCGGTATTGTTTACTTATCCGCGTTTAATTAACCGGACTTTAATAATGATAATTAATGAAGAAATTTGCCGGGACCAATGAATAGTGTTTACTAATCCCTGAAGTCAGCAAGCCTGACCATCCGATCCTGTTAGTCACCTCTTACGACAAGCCTGGGTTACTGAAGACCAATTCTAACCTGGATCTTCACGGGTCGCTCGTATGATGAAGATACTGAAGTTGCTGATTGTTGCAGGAAGCTTTGTGATGGGTCCCATTGGGACGGGTCCCAATGTGATGGGGAAGGATCTTCATATCGGCAAGGTCGTGGAGGTCACCCAGCTTCACAGTCTCCATTTTGTCAGTGTGCAGTGGTACCAAGGTAATGTGGCTGGTCATCAGCATTTTTGTGTTTTTCTCAAATCTCATGAACAGGTACTGTTCCACTTAAAAATATGAAGGTTGTTGTTGTTATTATTACATTTGTTATTATTGCATGTGATGTTATTACATATGAATGATGTTAATGTTATTACATATGTTGTTAATATTACATGTGTTGTTATTACATATGTTGTTATTGCATGTGATGTTATTACATATGATGATATTAATGTTATTACATATGTTTGGGCGGTGGGGTACCCTAGTGATTAAAACATTAACTCATCACGCCAAAGACCCAGGTTGGATTCCCCACATGGATACAATGTGTGAAGCCCATTTCTTGTGTACCCCTCCGTGATATTGCTGGAATATTGCTAAAAGCGGCGTAAAACTAATCTCACTCACCCACATATGCTGTTGTTATTACATATGGAAAACTTTTAATACAGAAATCCTTTATCATAATTATGTTCCCAAAGAGGGAAGTAACTCATATATTTACATCAGATCTGTGAGTGAGTGAGTTTAGTTTTATGCCGCTTTTAGCAATATTCCAGCAATATCATGGAGGGGTACATAAGAAATGGGCTTCACACATTGTATCCATGTGGGAATCAAACCATGGTTTTCAGTGTGATGAGCGAAGGCCTTAACCGCTAGGCTACCCCACCACCACTCATCAGTTCTGTGATGATGATGATGATGATGATGATGATGATGATGATGATGATGATCCTTTTCCAGGCTCTGTTGGAAAATCAAAGCAGTTTACACTATCTGAGAAATGGATCAAGAAAAGTGATTTGGTGAGTGTCTGTTGTGTGAAACAAAACTAAAACCTACTAAGATGTAAGACCAGGGCCATATTTCATGAAGTGTTCTAACTGCCGTGGTGGAGTAGATAGAGGGTATGCCTGGAAAGCAAAAGGTCAGTTGTTCAATGCCAAAACATATTAATGAATGGTACTGGCCTGGCTCTTGGCATTAATTGTAGAATGGACACAATGGTCCGTGTACTGTGCAACAATGTTAAATTATGCCGAGCCCTGTTTGACCCTACTTTTTGAAGTGTTTTACCATCTGCTTCAGGTGAACAGCGAGGACCTGATCTGCAGTTTCACCTTCGATCCCCTCAAACCCATCACCGATTCCTTGGAGAAAGAGTTGGTCCGAGCAGGAGAGGAGTTCAACATCAGCGGGAGTTCTTCATCACCTTGGACGAAGCGAGTCCGCACTGCCAAGACATCATAACAATAGAAGCTCTCCCTGTAATCCTCAAACAGCCATCAAATTTACTTGAAGCAAAGTGGAGTTGTGTACCTTAATCATGTGAGGATCTACTGAACTTTGGTTCAAAACCAAGATTTGCCCTGATTGTGACCCTTGCTTCCACCTTTTAAAATTTTCAAGACAATACAGAGTTGTGTTCCTTAGTCATGCCAGGATCTCCTGAATATGCTCTTATGTCCAAGATTTACTCTGAGTTCTCCAAACAATGTCCCTTAGTCATGGAAGAATCTGCTGATTTGGGTTTACATCCAACATATGCCTTGATACTGATCCCTGTTCTGCCATTGCAATTCTTTAAGATAACGCAGAGTTGTGTCCCTTAGACATGCTAGGAATTGCTGATTTGGGGTTTGAATCCAAGACTCCCCCCTGATTATGGCCAAACCAAGCCATGCTCCAGGGTTTGCGAATGAGTATGGTGTTACATTGCTTTTAGCAATACACCAGCAATATCATGTCAGAAATGGGCTTCACACATTGTACCCATGTAGGGATCCAAGCCTGGGTCTGACACTTTAACCCCATCTCCCCCAGGGTTAGCAACATCTGCTGTTTACATCATGTTATGGCGCACTCCAACGTTAGCCTGATGCCATCGATTGTCTCTGATTTGCAGATTTGTTGAGTCATGACATAAAATGTTTGTTTGAAGTTATCGTGGTATTGGAAATAATTTATATGCACATGGCAAATATTCCCATGCTTGCAAGGGCATGAGACCCATGAAGATTTGGGTTAGAATTGATCTTCAGTAACCCATTCTTGTCGTAAGAGGTGACTAACGGGATCAGTTGGTCAAGCACATATCATCATGTCAAGCACGTGTCATCATATCCCAGTTGCGTAGATCGGTGCTCTTGCTGTTGATCACGGGATTGTCTGGTCCAGACTCCATTGTTTACAGACCGCTGCCATATGGCTGTAATATTGCTGAGTGCTGCATTAAACTAAACTAACTTACTCATTCCAAAGGATTGCTGGATGAGTGATTAGGTCAGATGAATACTGGTGCCTGGTTTCATGAATTTGATATTTAGTTAGTGACTCTACCAAAGAGTTGTTTCATGGTCAGAAATGCTTAAGAAAGTGGCGATACCTACATTCCTCAAGCAATAAGCAAAACACTGGTGAATTTCTCCTGACTCGGCATGTTTTGCAGTGCTGTGATTGTTGTGTTGGGACCTTGTTAAACTAGACGAGAAACAGATGGATGAGATACTGTTCACTCATCTTTCCATTTTGGGATGTAAAATTCTTTTCCGACTTTTTAAGCCTGCTAGAAACCAGTTTTTCTTGAATAAATTTTAAGAGATTCTTGATAACTTAGTAATTGCTTCGTCAGCATTTATGGCCCTATGATTTTGTCAAGTGTATGTATATATATGATAGTTACAAATGATTACAATATTTTTTGTGATATTACAAATTTATGTGTTGTTTTTTAGTTTGAATCGAAGAATATTTGTTTTCAGTTGTAACTTTTTTTATTTTGTTACTATGGTTACTCATATTAATCTATTTATGCACAAAAATAGACTAAAGCACTTAAAGGATAAAAATTATATCAAAGATGTATACAAAATGAAATTAATTGAAAGATTTTTATCCAAATTATATGATATGTGATACGAGGGCATTTAAACTATAAATAGTTTCAAGCATGTGTCAATAAATCTTAATGTGTGTGTTTCACGTAAAGCATGAATGCTTTGTGGATTGTAATTAAGAGAGACCAACAGTTTGGTTTATTTCTTGAAGGTAATCAAGTATAATTTAATTTTAAGTCAGAATTTTTAAACAAAACAAGGCGGTATGTTTTGGGGTGGAGATGATAATAAAATAATGAACTTATCACAGAATGAAAGCTCATGTCAAAGAGTGTTTGTTTGGAGGTTGGTGTGTTCGAAAACTATTGCAGCAAACGCTAGTACCCCCTTATTATCTTTTACTGCTCAAGCCATAAAGAATCTCACTGTGTTTTTTTAGTATCAAATGTATAAACACACGATGATGAAAGTTTAAAACTCAAAGGCTTGGTGAGCTTATAAAAGATATGCAGATAAATGGGTGACCAATCAGTTTTAGGTTCCGCATTCGACTGCCCAGAGTTGTGCCAGAATCCCAGGATAGGGGGTTGGAATACTAGATCCCATGATTATATTACTAGGTCTGCTGGCACCATACTTGAGTGCTTAGGTTTCACCAGAGTGGTGAACGTATCAGACCAGCATCACTTTCATAGAACTGTAGACATGTAAAGATCCTGGTTAGAACTGATCTTCAGCAGCCCATGATTGTCTCCCTGTGAAGATCCAGGTTAGAATTGATCTTGAGCAGCCCTTGTCTCCCCTAGAAGATCCAGTTAGAATTGATCTTCAGCAGCCTATTCTTGTCTCTACGTGAAGATCCAGGTTAGAATTGATCTTCAGCAGCCCAAGAAGCGACTTATGGGATCTGGTGGTCAGACTCACTGACTTGGTTGTCACATGTCACCATATCCCTTTTGTGTAGATCGATGCTCATGGCATCAATCACTGGATTGTATGGTCCAGACTCGTTTATTTACAGACTGCTGTCATATAGGTGGGATATTGCCAAGTGTGGCGTTAAACAACAAACAAATGAGAACAAACAAACAGTCCTTTCGCAGCACAGTTGAATACTTACAGTTGCCTTGAAGTAAAAGCTTGCTCCTTCTTCCTCCCTTAATCATTCCATATTCTACGGTTATGTCAAATATTGAATGACTGGCACTGTCACTTTAACTTCAACAGTGTTTGACCGTACTGTACACAAATTCAGTCTCTGAAGCCACACAGTCCAATTTCATCTTTCTTATTTATTAAAGCATCGATAAAATCATATGGTTACAATTACTTTTTGTTATAAATAATACATGTCAGAGCAAATGTCCACTGTTTCTGCTTTTGAGATCTTGGGAGACAATTCATGATCTTTCATTGCATACATTCATCTGTTGTGGTAATTATTACTTTCATATGAAATAGCTTCAACGTGTAGTTTGTAAATATATGTATCATTTGAAGAGGTGTTGAGTAGCCAAGTGGATCAAGTGTTTGTTTGTTATGACCAATTCCTAGGTTTGATTCCCAACATTTATACAGCATGTAGAGAAATTTCACTTTTTCTGCTGAATCAGCATAATGCCAAAGTCACTGTCAGTCATTTGTTGAAGCCATAGTTCATTTTCATGCCAGTTTCCAATACTCTGGTGGATAGATTTTTAAGGTTTTTTATGTGTTGACCAGAAATATGTAAAATGCTAAAGAGGATGTACTCATTTGTAAGTTCCTATCAATATTGACTTAAAATTAGATTTTTTTCACATTTCAATTATTTTTAGTCAGGGGTTTCATAAACAGTTTAAAAAGGTCATGCCAGATCTAGCATTAATATAGAAGTGCGTTAAGGCCATACAATTTTCGAAAATTTCTTGTAATTTAGAAATAATATATTGAAAATTTATTGCATTAACTTTGATATTTGCAAGAACAATGTTAAAGATTTAATTGTAAATTTTATCATGGTAGAATATATTTTCAACATTGCAACTTAAAATTTGTTAGTATTATCTTAGAACTTTCAAATTGGTATTTCAATATATTATCTTGAATTTTCAATATCAGATTTGAAATAACATTTTGAATTTTTAACATGTATATATATAAAACACTTGAAACTTATGAATTTTGTTGTAACATTATAATTAGGACATGTTATTTTAAAATAAAATTTAAAAAATAGATAAAAGCGCTCCAGTCTGAGAGATTTTTACCTATATCATTTATATACTGTTTGTTTTGCCTATTTTGAGAAAGATTTCCGTGATCTAATTTTCACTCTTTTTGTGTTGAAAAACTCATAATAATAAGGATTATTTCATTTACATATCAGGTTATGATGCAGCTGTCAAAATAGTCACTATACATCTGTTCACACAAGAGGAGAGTGAACCTTACTTGTCAATCCTGTTTGACAACCGAAATGTAAATACTTACACTTGTGAAATGATCATGAATATAAACTGTGTGCTTGTGCAGTCTAATGTTTTAAAATATGAATCTACTTATGTTTCCTTGCTTTTCTAAAATATAATATTCACATTTAACACATTGCAATATATACAATATATATGTACAGTCTCATAAGTCACAAACATAAAAAAAGTCATCTATGTACAGAATTAACATTTATTTTTTCATATAGTTACTGTCCTTGTGTGTTATTATATATTTATACATTATGCTTTTCTATATTTAAAATGTCATTGCTCATAGAACAGTAACCTAAGTATAACCTTGATTCGTGGATCGTGGTATTTATCATTTTATCTCGTAAATTATGTCTCGTATGACGTCACGAATCGGCAGTTTTGATGTACACACAGTGCTACGCCTCGCTGACAAAAACGTTCCGAATATCTGTGTTCCATGTAAGTACACTTAATTTAATTGTCCAACACTGAGATAAATAGCCCAAGATCACTAATGCCATAATACCAAATTATACTTTTACAAAATGTCAAGTAAAGAAGATATCGTTAGCACCACCCTTCTCACATTGCGTCGTCTGCTTTCCTTGGTGTCAGTACTTACTGCAGTTGGTGTCGTACATAGTGATATATAGTACCTGACTACGTAATCCACGAAATAAGGTGACGTCACATTTTGTGTGCCCACGAATTGGTGATGATTGCAAATGGCTTCGGTAAACAAACGTTTCATTCACAAGTAGAATATTAGGCAATTTTGGCAGGTTAATTTGCTGAATCAATGAATAAAATAATCAGTGTGTATTTACAGTGAAATCGCACATTTAAAATATGATTTTCGCCGCACTTTCTCTTTATCCATGAATCAAGGTGTCTGGTAATTATCCCAGATAGTGTTACAGGCAATCGGTATAGGCTATACCCAAAAGTGACCACAAATACCCTGGATATTCGAAGATGGTTGTTACAGAACTGCTGTTAGGTTACCCTAATGCCAGTCTCCTTGTAGTTGTTCAACAGTTGGTGATTCTGTGACCTGTATCTTGTGGCTTAAACAGTGGGAGATTTTAATTATTTGAAGCGCTCATAAAATTCCCACATGTGTTAAATCTGCAATGAACGAAACGCTAATGAAATTCCCAGCTGTGTTAAAGCTGCATTGCTTGAAGCGCCCGTAAAGTCCCTAAAGTGGTTTAAACTGCCGTGTGTGAAGCGCTCATAAAATTCCAAATCTGAAATGAACGCTCTCACAAAGTTTCCATCAGTGGTGGTAAATCTGCAGTGCTCCAAGCACTCATAAAATTCTCAGCTCAGTTCACTCCTGGGACAAATGCGACCTGAAAGCACCATCCCTTGTAGGCTGAAATAGTTTTCTCATGTCAAAAGAACGGACCATCTAAAGAAAGGCCTTTTGTCACCACTGCTTGAATAGTTTCAGTCAGTACTTGCATCTGGAGCTAGAACCTGATACTGTTTCCGGGAATATATAGACACGCCTCACAGCAGCGTTTTTTGTGTTGCTTCTAATTAGTGGAGTTTGTGATTTTTAATATTGTTGTCTTATCACAGATTTGTATGTATTTGTATTAAAAACGAGTTCATTCGAAAGAGAATTGTGTTGAACAAAACAACTAGATTTGTTAAGATGTTAATGTTCTAGTATGTGCAGTAATGAGCTATGAAAGCTTAACGTGTTTGTGATTACATTTCAAATAAAATCAAATACCAAACTATGAATTGGGAAATTATTGTGTATTCGGACGTCTTCCAACAGTGAGCAGGGGCGATGGGGTATCCTAGTGGTTTAAGAGTTCGCTCGTCACGCCGAAGGGTTCGATTCCCTCATATGGGTACAATGTGTGAAACCCTTTTCTGGTGTTCCCCGCCGTGATATTGCTGGAATATTGCTAAAAACGGCATACAACTAAACTCACTCACCCCAACAGTGAGCCTTGCGCATAGGAACTTGTACACCCATTCGATTAACACAGCGATTTGATGTGCAGAGTTGCTTCCCATACTCGTGCAGGAACGTGTGTTTATTGGTTCGAATCCCGATTCATCTTAAGTATGTTTCTTAGTGAGTCAGCACTTTTCCCTGTTGCCGGATGAACCCGAAGTTGTAAACATCAAGGACCTACATATCTACCGGCTTTTCTGTTTTGCATACACTCCCTAATTTACCCGTAATGATGTTCAAAAATCTAAACATGTAAGGCACCAGTAGCGTTTCCGGGTTAGTATTGGTTCCCAACAAACTTCACCGCCTCCGTAGTGGTTAGAGCGTCCGCCCGGAGAGCGGAAGGTCGCGGGTTCGAACCCCTACCGCGTCATACCAAAAGACGTTAACATATGGTACTTGTTGGTCCCTGACTGGCGCTCGGCGTTAATGGGTACAACAAGGACTGGTCGGCTCGGAGTCAGTATACTGTGTCTGAGTGGGTTATTCATGCTTCACTGCGGCATGGTATCTCAGTGGGCTAGCACTATAAAACCAGCTTATAATTAAGTCTGGGCTAGTACAAGCAGCCGCACATACACATACACGCGCATGCACGCCGTCATATGAGCGACATATTCTCAAGCACGACGTTAAACCCAATTTCACCTCACCTGACCCAACAAACTTCATTCATCGTCAGAGTCGGCCAAAGGGCGCTCCACCCGTGTTCTGGGTACGAATTGACCTTCGGCAAGACTGTTGAACCCGTGAAGGTCCGGGCTGGAATTGACCTTCAGTAACCCATGCTTGTCCTAAGAGGCGACTAACGGGATCGGGTGGTCAGGCTCGCTGACTTGGTTGACACTTTCTGTCGTATCCCAATTGCGTAGATCGATGCTCATGCTGTTGATCACTGGATTGTCTGGTCCAGACCCGATTATTTACAGTCCGCCGCCACAAAAGCTGGTATATTGCTGAGTGCGGCTTGAAGCTTAACTCACTCACCCATGAGTACTGCAACACCTCGGAATCCACAGTCCAAGGCTGGAGAATGTACAGCCTGGTAATGCGATAAGTTATACTGGCTACGACATGCAACACGACTCACTCAGTTGATAAAAGACAGAAACAGGATGCCAAGAATACCCTTTAATATCAATTTCTCAGACGTTTTGTAATGTAATACGTATTTCTTGTTTATTGCTGTTTATAAAGAATACGTTGCCATTTACGCACGTTCAAGTACACAGCATAACAATCCTTTGCGACATAAACGTGGGATACTATTGCGACTAGAGTGAGTGAGAAGGTTTTACGCCGCTTTTAGCAATATTCCAGCACTGTCACTCCGGGGGACTCCAGAAATGGGCTCCACAGATAGTACCTATGTTGGGAATCGAATCCGGTCTTCCGTGTGACGAGCAGGCGCTTTATCCAATAAGCTACCCCACCACTCCGACTATATATAGTTTTAGTGAGTGAGTATATTTTTATGCCGCTCTCAGCAATATCACAGCGTGGAACACCAGAAATGGGGTTCACACATTATACCCATTTTAAGAATCGAACCCGGGGTGATGAGCAGACGCTTTAACCATTAGGCTACCCCACCGCTCCGGCTATAGACACTTTTAGCCGTCATAAAGGACAACTGTATCTTGGTATTTAATCTGACGCAAGATATCCTGAGTACACTATCTGAACTGCATGCCATCTTCGATTATGCAGGGTATATTTCCATTCTGTCGTAATAAATGCCCTGGATCTCGAAGTCACACATAACACCTTGCTGGCAGTAGAACTCAAACCTTCAGTAGGACGAACAAACGCTTTCACAAGGTTACCCAGCCGACTTTTGACGGGGGACATTGATTGTCATAGAATTGAAATATACTTGTACATAATCAAGGATAATTACGGATAATCAAAGAAAATCGAGGTTGGAAACCCTGGAAGCTTCTCTGACAAACATTTAAGTCAGGACTGCTGTCCTAGTGTTAGTTCCATATACCATTAACAAGACACATCGAGATTTTCCATTTGACTATAGTTAATATGTCATGTCACGTACAAAAATGTTCTTTAATTTATTTGGAGTAGTATATATCAGCTGAGCACAGCAACTCACGCACAAACCCCACTTGTCAAAAAAAGCGTTCTCTCGAACTGCCACGTCCCAGTCGAGGGAACCTTAGTTTTGAATAGTAGTGTAGACTGTAGTCAAAATAACGTAGTGCACGAAACATTCCTGCCATTGTAACATCGTCGTCATTTTTTACCTATCTGTATATTAGAAAATCTAAATTCTGTTAATTCTCAATTTCAATCGTATGTCCAATCAGATCTACACCCAAATAAAACAACAATATTCTACCAGGCTAAAGACAGCATACACATCTAAACGTCTCTTGGCTGAAACAACCAATAATTCCTTATAAGCCAACATCAAACATAGGCGAATACTGTCAACAGTCTGGCAGTATAAATTTCCCCCCGATAATAATAAAGTCCGAACCAGGTTTTTCAGGATAATCCGGGTATATGTTTGGCCTTACAACATAACTTTCAAGGCGTTTACATTTCTCATGGTTGAATTAGGTTTGTTTTGGACGCTACGGCATTTGCGTCGTTGATAGCAGCAATGATTGGCAGTAAACTGTCTTAGAGATATAATATAATGCTGTAGAGCCTTGTTATATTCAGGAACTTGTTGCCGTGGATACATCCGTTACTGAAACACAAGACATTTCAACATCAGTGAGTTGATCTTTACGACATCGAGCAGGTAGACTTTAGGCACAAGTCTTTAGGTTTAAATCTGCATAATTTCTTGATCATACAGATAGAGAGCGATTTGTTCCTTGAAATATGGGCGCCTGTACTGCCCGCTCATACTTACTTGTCTATTATAAGACAAAATGAATGTAGTTCTATGGACTTATTATTGAGTACAGCTATGGAGAATTGGAAAAGTGCTGATCAGCGGATCCTGGCGTGACGAGGGGACCCAATTCCGTACAGCGGAATGGAGCACCTATCGCTATGAACGTATTCACACAAGGTGTGGTGAAATGATTTTAATTAGAAAACTTTTCTTTTGGCACCCAGCTTTCATTGATTTAATTCGACTGAGAATAATTGTATGTGATGAAATGAGATATACGCCTTTTCCATCTTTTGACCTAACTAGAAATATATTTATAGTTGATAACCATGAGGGGATTCCCCTTGTACTGACCTGAATGCATCTACGGTCATGGAAAGTAGTGTGCAGGCCTTGATTATAATACACTCGTCTAATAGACGTGGCCAGCTCCAGATCCCTCGGACCTTGTGGGAAAACGGGGTTATCGTGACGAGGGCAGATGCAGTTGATCTAGCGAAACAAATGGCAATTGTCAGAATTCTTGAAACACAAGGCAGTAGCCCCCCCTGAATTATGAATCATTAAACACCACTTTAAACAGTATCCTTGATACATCACGGAGTGTGGAATGAAAACCCGTATTGAGGCAGGTATCACGAAAGGGGGCACCAGAAATAGGCTTGACACATTGTACCCATGTGGTGACTCGAACTCTGGTCTCCGGCGTGAGGGGCGAACGCTTTTACCACTAAGCTACCCCACCAAACCTCTTACACATTAAAGACTTCGGTGAAACCCACGAATAAGGCTATGGTAGAGAAACATAATGCGGGCGAGCGGGGATTCGAACCTATAGTCATAGATCTCAAATGTCAAAGACATGTCTAAACTCAGGTATGGATTATGTGAACAAGCGGATAGTTCAGCACGTCTTCTAGTTTTAGATGAGATGTCGACAGTAAAAAGATGGAAAACACCGAAACACCGAAACGAAAGCGGACGATGGAGCAAGGTGAGCTAAAATACGCCTTAACAAATAACAGTAAAATAGCAATTGTAATTCTATTGCTACCATCAGATCATCAAAATGACAAAACATTCTTGAAGACAAATGCATTTACTTTTTCCTTGACGCCGTTATGTATCCCCTTCCTTTCTATTTTAAATGGAAAATGTTCATAATGTTTAAAAAATATCATATATCATTTACATATCCGCTTGACATATTTTCGAGAATCGGTTTTGAGTTTCAGTGTTTTTCGCGGTTTTCTTAGAAATCACATATACTCTAGGAGGGTACAAGTACATAAATCACTAATTGGCATCGTTATAAATGAAACCCCGTCATTAAAACTACTCATTACGATCTTTAATTAACTTAAATCGACCTTTTTTGACAACAGTGCACAATTCTCACCCGCGAACGAAATTTCAACCAATCAGTGCGGCGCGTCTCTGTGACGTCATGTGAGGAATAGATATGAGGGCCGATGCAGAATTCCTGTACATTTCAGGGGGTCTGTTATCTTGTTTACAGGTTTGTATAAAGCTGAAATCGTGACAACTGTTGTCAAAAATGAAAGCTATATGTTCTCACAATCTACTGTCATTTAATTTTGTCTCCTGCTTTGCCTAGTTTCCGAGTTACAACTTGTTTTCATAGATGATTCTCTCAACATCGCTTTGTGTCGCTAGGCCTTATTTGTTCGAGCCAGACACTAGTGATAATGAAAACGATGATCAGCCTCGCTGATCGCAGTTACGGTTAATTTCTTCAACCTAAACAGTGCGACATTAGGAATGGTTGATGCCCAGCAGATGCAGTTATTTGAAAATATCCCCGGTAGTAACTACAACTAGTAAGTAGTTTTGATTCTTTAACTTCCGTGAAGCGATCTGAACGCAACTAAGATACCGTTTCAGGCTTCCGCAACGCTCGCTTCGCACTCACAAACATAACCCATTTAGCACTAACTGCGGGTTCCTGTGGAAATCTGTTCATGGTGACACGGTCATCGCCCAAACCGAAGGAGCAACTGACGACAACGCAACGATTCGGCATGTCTTCGTTAATGTCGAGAAATCGTCAAAGTGACGACACTTTATATACAACTAACTGAAAATCGTTCCTCATATGACGTCACTGCAGTGCTCGGGCGACAGAGTTACGTAACCTGTCTGTGGTTGTGTTGGCGGGCGAGAGGGAAGCAGGCGACCTTTTGGCAACTTTTAACCGCTCGGTATTAATTAACCACAAGTTTTTTTAAAGAATGAATTTGGTGTTCCGCATAAGACTAACCACAAATCTTTCATATGTAATGGTTAAAAGAATAAAAAAGAAGTTTATTTGTTCTTTCATAAGATTCCATGAAAACAATCACCCATAATAGACTACACATGTGAGTAATCGAATCCCAGACCTTCGGCGCTTTAACCTCTAGGCTACCTCGTCGCCCTATTGAGTATATAAAGAAGAAATACAGCAGTATCCCTATTGAGTTCTATTGGTAGTTGTGCTAGTTCTGCATACATTACCCTGAAATATCTGGTAAGGACGTCTTCCAGGTGTCGCTCCAGTAGCTGTTTGGCTGCCGGACCGGTCGAGTTATTCAGATCACAGTTTGTGAAGGCTGCTCTAGGTTGACACAAGTACTCCCTGGACACAACAGTGAGTTTAATACTATTCATCAAACATATGACCATCGTGACTCCTCTAATTCCTCTTATTTTACGACCCGTGAAGGTCCGGGTTAGAATGAGCCTTAAGTAACCCATGCTTGTCGTAAGAGGCAACTAACGGGATCGGGTGGTCAGGCACGCTGGCTTGGTTGACACATGTCATCGGTTCCAAATTGCGCAGACCGATGCTCATGCTGTTGATCACTGGATTGTCTGGTCTAGACTCGATTACTTACAGACCGCTGCCATATAACTGAATTATTGCTGAGTGCGGCGTAAAACTAAACTCACTCTCTCACTCTTATTTTAAAATAAAAATAAACACAAAATTTGAACGGAGAGGTCTGCATGTTGATCATCCTTTCCTGAACCTTGCCAATCATACTGCTGTCAAAAGGGAGAGAGTCCCCAAAGAAAGATAACATCGTTGGCTTTATCAAAAAGGACAAGAACAGGTTTGTTGGCAGGTCGTTTGGGGGTCTATTTCTGCTTTTAAAAGGATCACTTTTTCCATGACGCCCTGGGTGTCATTGTCCAAAGCGATCTTAGCGCTAAGGTGATCTTATCTCCCGTACCTTAACATATGCTAACAACTGTCTTAGCGCTAAGGTTGTATTGTACAACGGCACCCTGTACATGTTCAGGGCCATACCATGGGTGAACCTTAGGGTCAAAGTCACATGCATGGTGAAGACGGTAATAGAAACTACTTTGTGGCAATGAATCATCTATCCACTGATTAGGTGTTGAACAGCCTCGGCTAATTCATTACACAATTGAATTTTATGGTAACATTCAATTAAAAATCATCTCATTTTGGCGATTGTAATTGGGAAGAAACGGGCTCAGGGCATACCTCCTTTTTAAGCTGGCGAATATTCTGTGCTCGGGAACGATCGGACATTCAACGTTTCCCGGACAAGTACAGTGTATGATGACTCGCCGTTCTGGCAACCGCCTGTCACCCACCGTTCTGTTGAAGTCGTAGGCGACGCCACAAATAGCCCTTGGTGGACATTCTGTATCGAAATCTCGTCGCTGCAAGAATGGAAGGGAATGCAGTTTATCGACGCACTCAGCTTTAATCCTTAGTATCAAGCCACCCAACACATGCACACAGCTTTAATCCTTAGTATCAAGCCACCCAACACACGCACACAGCTTTAATCCTTAGTATCAAGCCACCCAACACATGCACACAGCTTTAATCCTTAGTATCAAGCCACCCAACACACGCACACAGCTTTAATCCTTAGTATCAAGCCACCCAACACATGCACACACAGCTTTAATCCTTAGTATCAAGCCACCCAACACATGCACACAGCTTTAATCCTTAGTATCAAGCCACCCAACACATGCACACAGCTTTAATCCTTAGTATCAAGCCACCCAACACATGCACACAGCTTTAATCCTTAGTATCAAGCCACCCAACGCATGCACACAGCTTTAATCCTTAGTATCAAGCCACCCAACACATGCACACAGCTTTAATCCTTAGTATCAAGCCACCCAACACATGCACACAGCTTTAATCCTTAGTATCAAGCCACCCAACACATGCACACAGCTTTAATCCTTAGTATCAAGCCACCCAACACACGCACACAGCTTTAATCCTTGAGTATCAAGCCACCCAACGCATGCACTCACAGCTTTAATCCTTAGTATCAAGCCACCCAACACATGCACACAGCTTTAATCCTTAGTATCAAGCCACCCAACACATGCACACAGCTTTAATCCTTAGTATCAAGCCACCCAACGCATGCACACAGCTTTAATCCTTAGTATCAAGCCACCCAACACATGCACACAGCTTTAATCCTTAGTATCAAGCCACCCAACGCATGCACACAGCTTTAATCCTTAGTATCAAGCCACCCAACACACGCACACAGCTTTAATCCTTAGTATCAAGCCACCTAACACATGCTTTAATCCTTAGTATCAAGCCACCCAACACACGCACACAGCTTTAATCCTTAGTATCAAGCCACCCAACACACGCACTCAGCTTTAATCCTTAGTATCAAGCCACCCAACACATGCACTCAGCTTTAATCCTTAGTATCAAGCCACCCAACACATGCACACAGCTTTAATCCTTAGTATCAAGCCACCCAACACATGCACTCAGCTTTAATCCTTAGTATCAAGCCACCCAACGCATGCACACAGCTTTAATCCTTAGTATCAAGCCTGCCAACACACGCACGAGGCAGCACACAAGTGAGTGTTAGCCCGAGAGGCGATCCCAGCTGTCTCCACCAAATCGTTCTTTACAACAAGCAGATATTACTGGGAACCTCAAGCGCCACCATGGGCACCTGAGGTAGAATGAGTCTCCACAACCCTATGCTGGTCGTAAGAGGTCTTCAGTTCTTGGACGCCTTCGGCTATCTGCTTAAGCTGGGATAGATTGAAACACTGATTGTTCATAGACTGAAACACTTGACACAAATGACTATGTTAACATTGAATGTTAACAATTAATTGTTAATGTCCATCAAAGAATCATGATGACGAATTATTGTTAATTCTTATTAAAATCTTGATGATGACAAATGATGATCTCTTTTCATTGAAATCATTCTCTCAACCTTTTATTTGTGTGTTGTTATGTCTCTTAAGTGGATTAGTCCATTGTGTGGAATAGGTAACAGGCAGTGGATTAACAGTGCAACTATGTTGTTATAAGCTGTAGGGGTAGTGGCATGTAGGGGTAATGGGGGGGTTACCGACCGAATGGCGCAACCCGTGATCCGTGATCCGGAACCCGCGTGACCTGTGATCTCCAGCAACTAGGGCTGTAACGATGCATTGAACTATCGATGGATTGCAATTGTTGTGTCTCCGATACCAATTTATCGATGGTAGAAACGAAAAACTATCGATGCATCGATAGTATGGGTGACTATTGATAGTTTAGTAATTGACTTCCGTTGATAAATGCGCAACGCAAAATACAAGAAGTACCGGATTCGTTCACTTTGATTTAGAGTTATCCGCCCATGTTACCTCTTAAACAAACTTCATCTGGGATTCATGTTTCTTGTCAGTTATCAAAAGAGACTGAAACTACTTCAGCTTGTTTCTATTTCATATAAATTAAATCCATTCATTTGGGAAATGACTTCAAATGAGACAATTCAACGAAAAACAACAACTATTGCAATTGAAAAAGTATTGCAATAGTTGGTCGCTATCGCAATTGTATGAGCTGGAGCGGGTGGTCAGCTCGTTGACTAAGTTGATGCACGTCATCGTATCCCAATTTCGTAGATCGATGCTTATGACGTCCACCACGGAATTAGCCTATTCAGACAGGCCGTCATATAGATGGAATATTGCTCACTGAGGCCTTTAACAACTAACAAACGGACAAAGAAACTTCGAGTCTAGATCGACATAGCTGGAATATCCTGATTCGATACTTTCTCTTGAGAAATGAACACAACATACCAGATGCATCATGCATATCGAAAAGAATATAAAGTACACCTACATTTTACATATTACAAAATACACCTAGAATACCCACCAGTCCACTACCAACTACATCGGGTAAATAAACAAAATAACACACAGCACACACACACACACACACACACACACACACACACACACTGTAATGTTGAAAATGTTGAAACTAAAAAACTAAAACATGTTTAAAACTCAAAACATACCGCCATGGAGTACTATTCCATATGCAGTAATACATACTGACGTTCTCTTTTACAATTACGAACGGTATAATAGATTTGGACTGTTTAAAGTAAGGCCAGAAATGCTTGGAAAATGCGTTTTGACTTCAATATCAATATGATGAATTTGGCAAGATCACAGCCATATATGATCCATGTACAACTCTACCTAGTTGGATATTAAAGCTCAGATGAACAAAATGCACTATAGGAGTGACTTCACAGGAGGTAATTTTGACGTTTTAACATATTCGTAAATGTACAAAAAAGTACAAACTGTAGTTTTGAAATACAGACTTTAATTATTCATCTAGCCTCAACTAATTAAATTACATAAATGATTGTAAAAAGTTTTGTTTTTTTGAACATCTCAATGTGAAAAAGATGGAACTCTTGTAGTAGTTATATTTAAAATATTTACGTAAAAATGTCTTATTTCAAATCGCATGGGTTATCTTGTTCACCCATAAAAGATTCACTTGTGTATGAGCATTAAACTGGCAACATGCGACTTGATATCTCTACAAAACAATTAATTTCAAATTTATACCAGTATTTCAAACTGGCTAAACAAAGGGAGAAACCTCTCGTCAGCTATGACAGCGTTTACTACAGAATGTATAAAGCCCTTAATTTGACATATAGTCAGGTTTACAAAGTTGTAAACAAATCAGTTACCTCGGGGGTCAAAATCAAAACCAGGTAGGAAACACAAACTGGATAGCTTTGATAAGGATGTCATACGCCGTGCAGTTTATAAAATGTATGAACGCAAAATCCCATCTACGTGTGCTAAAATACAAGATGAGATCAAAGATACAATAAATGTCTCGAAAACAACACTTATTGTAGCTCTGGTAGAAATGGGGTTCAGGTACACCAAAAGGGGGGAGATGACAGAGGTGTGTTTAGAGAAAAGTACTCAATCCTGTCCATGCGATCAGCTTATCTCAGGACCGTTGAAGAATACCGCAATTTGGGGTTTCAAATTATATACCTTGATGAAACCTGGTGTAATAAAAATCACTCAACCGATCGGATGTGGCTTCCTTCAGATTGTTCAAAGGCACCAGTGTTACCATCAGGCAAAGGTAGACGCCTGATCATCTTGCATGCTGGTACCCGTAGCAAGGGAATGGTTGGGGGTTGTAACTTTGTTTTTGAGGCCAAGAAATCTAATGGTGATTACCATAGCGAAATGAATGGGCAGGTATGTTTGGGATTGGTTCGAACATCAGCTTTTACCGCAGCTGGACGAACCCACAAGCGTTATCATTTTGGATAACGCCAGTTACCATAACCTGCGTTTCCCTGGTACCATAACACCCACCATGAGCAATCTCAAGGCTCAGTAGCAGGATTTTCTCACTTCCTGTAACGTGCCTTACAGAAACAAAGCCCCAGCTCATCGAAACAAGCAGCAGAAAAAGCCAATCCAGTACGTCACTGACGAACTAGCTGCAAAACAAGGCCACATAGTTCTGCGTACGCCAGTAAGGCGCTGTGAGCTCAACCCCATCGAGCTGATCTGGGGTAACTGTAAGAATTTCATTGCTCGCAATAATACCACATTCAAGCTTTCGGCGTTAAAGAGCTTGTGTATGCTTCTTTTTGCGAGAATTACCCCAGAAGTGAGGCAAAAGGCTGAAACCATGTTCTCAGAATCGAGGACGAATACCGTCTGCGGGGCGGCGTTAACGTCAGCCGAGTTGCACCTTTTGTAATTCCGCTCGAGTCTTCGACCCTCAGTGATCCTGACACTTGATATTTTGAGACGGTCCCTGACATGTACTGCCCGTGCGTTACATAACGCTGTCACCCTGTCCGTCTGCCAGGTGGGTCACAGTATAGTTTGTTTCTTAGACTGACTGACTGACTGAGTTTAGTTTTACGCCGCTTTTAGCAATATTCCAGCAATATCACCTCGGGGGACACCAGAAATGGGCTTAACACATTGTGCCCATGTGGGGAATCGAACCCGGGTCTTCGGCGTGACGAGCCAACGCTTTAACCACTAGGCTACCCCACCGCTCCTTGTTTCTTAGAAGTGTTTCTACCATTGAATGTTTTTTCCTAATTTTTTCGATATTGTACGAGTAATCATTACGTTTAGGGAATGGTACAACGTGATTACTCATATGCTATATTAGGTCGAAGTGGTATGAATGATTATATATGAGTTTTGAATCTGAAATATCAACCGTTATCAATTAATTGCCAAAAAGCATTTTCCAAGCATTTGTGGCCTTACGTTAGTATGTTCCTACTTGAAACACTGAGAAATAGGTAAGTTGGATTTTGTTGGATGGAAAAGATCTTGCAGGGACATATTTTACAAGACTGTAATAAAATGTCTGTTGAATAATGACATGGTTTTGCGTACGCAGTGTTGTCTAGTTGCATAGTCTAGGTCCATGCGTAATACTGACGTAAATTGCAACTAAATCTGAGCTCACTGCACCGACGTGCTGTACTTCGTAAAATCCGGAGCGAACCCACCTCACCCATGTATAGGCTTACCTTGACCTTGAAGCTGCGTTCGAATTCAATTTCTTCTGGCTCCCTTTGTTGGTACAGGACGCGGTAGTCGCACAAGGCGGGCGTTGCCAGCAGCAACGCTGCAACTATCATCAACATCATAGATCCTGAAAAACGAAATGTTTCCAGAAAACTCCACGTTAGATGAACCCGTGAAGACCCTGAAAAACGAAATGTTTCCACAAAACCCTACGTTAGATGAACCCGTGAAAACCCAGAAATAAGAAATGTTTCCACAAAACCCTACATGAGATGAACTAGTGAAGACCCAGAAAAGCGAATTGTTTCCACAAAACCCTACGTGAGATAAACTAATAAAGACCCAGAAACAAGAAATGTTTCCACAAAACCCTACGTTAGATGAACTCGTGAAGACCCAGAAAAGCGTATTGTTTCCACAAAACCCTACGTTAGATGAACCCGCGAAGACCCTGAAAAACAAAATGTTTCCACAAAACCCTACGTGAGATAAACTAGTAAAGACCCAGAAACACGAAATGTTTCCACAAAACCCTACGTTAGATAAACTAGTAAAGACCCAGAAACACGAAATGTTTCCACAAAACCCTACGTGAGATAAACTATAGTAAAGACCCAGAAACACGAAATGTTTCCACAAAGACCCTACGTGAGATGAAAACGTGAAAACCTGGGTTAGAATCCCGGTTCAGCAAACCATGCATGTCCAAGACACTTTTCAAACACTCTCGTCTCATTCACAAGCGCCAAGTGGCCTAATTTTGTCTAATGAGCTAAACGCATTCATTTGCTACGCAGCGGAGCATCCACGCCAGATAGCAGTTATAATTCCATCTCCAGCTGATTTAATACGTTAACTGATGTTGCAAGCTGGTTATTGGCCCACGCTAAACACTAGACGCGCTCATATATATTTTTGTTTGTTTGTTAATTTTTTTTTTGAATGGGACGGCCTTAAGCAGCTGCAATTGTTGCTGGGTGTTCCCACTTTGTTGCTGGGTGTTCCCACTTTGTTGCTGGGTGTTCCCACTTTGTTGCTGGGTGTTCCCACTTTGTTGCTGCTGCGCACAATACATACTGTAAAACCACTGTAGCTCACTCGTAAATTCATGCAAACACAAAACTGTTACCATATATATATCTGTAGATTACTGCAAATTAATAATACAAAATTGAAGAATGGTGGTGGTGGTGATGATAATGATGATGATGATGATGATGATGATGATGATGATGAAGGTGGTGATGATGATGATGATGATGGTGATGATGATGATGATGATGATGATAATATCTATATACATGTATATATTTGTAGATAACTGTAATCAGTAATAAAAATATATATAATTGGAAGCAGCGATAATGGATTCCATTTTGGGCTTTATACCTATAGTATTAGATTATCCATTCAGAGCTTGCTCTCAATTTGCATTTTTCCTTCATCAAAAAGTTTGCAATCAAACGATTATACTTTTGATAATCAAATTTCCGGTTTGGGAAATACCTTTGTGCCGTTATACAACACGACAAAAACCTTTTTCACATCAGTGAGAAGGCTCTGCTAGCAGCAGAACCTAAACCGACCTGACAATCCAGTTAGCGTTAAAAATAGCTACTGGCCCGCTAGCCCAAGGCTAACTGATTGTGAATCAGGCCAGTAATAAATTGTTAAAGCTATCCCGACTCGCTAGCTCAAAATCTCATATATTTTTTTCTTTATTTAATGCACATGAATATGATCATGTCAATTATTAAGGTGTTCAAAGTCTGTCTGCTAAGGTTTCGTGATATTTATTGTCTCTTGTCACACGAAGATCGCTATATAAAAACGTTAATAGCGTTTCGCAAAAGAGGTTGGGAACCATTGCAATACAATGTAACGTTTAACATCTTTACCAAACATCACACCAATTCTGACTGATGTGCATTTTGATATTGATATTTTGCAGGGTCAGTGAAGTAAGATGTGGGCCAGCAACATTTTTACTTAACCAAAATTACGTCATAAACTGAATCCAGCGACTGAGGTCATGTGATATGGTTTCCGAGCATGTGTTTAAGAATCACTTTCACATAGTACTTAATGACACCAGGTATTCGCATGAAGGTGCAACTATCCCGTCCCACCTGTGGCATCCCTCATAAACATTTACAAAAGCCAGACAATTATTTCCTGAAAAATACTTGCATCTGTCACCTAGTAAATAGGGAATGGCACAACTTGTATGGATCATGTCACTTCGAGTAATGGGAAATGCTTCCTTCATTAACTTCAAAATGGAATTATCATTGTCCTAGCTTAAACAGAAACGGTTGTGTACTCTGTTTTGGGGAATAGCACTTGTGGCTTTGGAAACAGATGGTGATTTTACTAGAACTTCTCAGAAGAGTATAACGGTTGTAGGTTCCATTGCAATTTAATCATTTGTACTAACTGAAAGGATGACATCACCACAGGTGTTCCGTACATTCCGTCACATCTCTACTCTGTACCCCTCTACTCCGTACCCATCTACTCTCACCGTTCTACTCTCACCTCTCTACTCTCACCCCTCTACTCTCACCTCTCTAGTCTCACCTCTCTACTCTCACCTTTCTACTCTCACCTCTCTACTCTCACCCCTCTACTCTCACCTCTCTGTCTCACCTCTCCTCTCACCTCTACTCTCCCTCTACTCCTCAGCCCCTCTACTCTCACCTCTAGTCTCCACCCCTCTACTCCTCACCCTCTACTCTCACCTCTCTCTACTCTCATCCCCACTCTCACCCTTCTACTCTCACCTCTACCTCACCCCCTCTCTCACCTCTCACCCCTCACTCTCACCCTCTACTCTCACTCTCTACCCTCACCCCTCTACTCTAACCCCCTCTACCTCACCTCTAGTCTCACCCCCTACTCACCCTCTCACTGTGTATCTTGTACTCAGTACCCTCTACTCTCACCCTCTCCTCTGTACCTCCTCTACCTCTGTACCTCCCTACTCCCCACCAATCTACTCTGTACCATTCTACTCTGTACCCCTCGACTCCGTACCTCTCTACTCTCACCTCTCTACTGTGTATCTTTGTACTCAGTACCCCTCTACTCTCATCCCTCTACTCTGTATCTCTCTACTCCGTACCTCTCTGATCTCACCTCACTACTCTCACCCCTCACTCTGCACCATTTTCTACTACTCTGTACCCCTCGACTCTGCACCCCTCTACCTCACCCCCTCTACTCTCTACCCCTACACTCTACTTGCACCCCCCCATCACTGTCACCTTTCTACACTCCCTCACCTTTCTACCTCTCACCTCTCTAGTATCACCTCTACTCCTGCACCCCCATCTGCACCCCTCTACTCTCACCCTTCTACTACCTCTCACCCCTCTACTCTGTACCATTCATCTACTCTGTATTCCCTCGACCTGTACCCCCCTCTCTCACCTCTACTCCGTACCCTACTACTCTCACCTCTCTAGTCTCAACCTCTCTATTCTGTACCCCGACGACTTCGTACCCCTCTACCTCACTCCCTCTACTCCCCACCCCCTCTCTGTGCTTCCACTCACACCTTCTACTCTCACCTTTCTACTCTTCACCCCCTCTAGTTCCCACCCCTCTCTACTCTGTACCCCTCACCTGCACCTCACTCTCAATTCCTACTCTCACCCTTTATCTCACCTCTCTAATCCAAACCCTCCCTACCTGCAACCCCTTACTCCGACCTTCTACCTGTAACCTTTATTCTGTCTCACCCCCTACTCTGCACCTTCTATTCCCTCACCCTCTTACTCTGCACCCCACTCTTGCACCCTCCTCACTCTCACCCCTGCTCTGTACCCTCTACATCCGTGCAGCCCTCTACTCTCACCCTCGACCTCTCGCCTCCCCTAGTCCTCACATTCGTAATTTCTCAGACGTAACCTCCTCTACCTGTACCTCGACGACTGAACGACCTTCGACGACGACGATGATCGATACGATGACGATTTCGACTTGATGACCGATTCGACCTTTCGACGACTTCGACCGAATTCGACCTTTGATAATTTCGACGAATTTTATTTTACGATCTTTGAACCTCGAATTTATTGACTTCGACCTTTGTCGACGACGACGAATTCGATTTCGACGACCTTCGACGAATTTGACGACTTTATCTTTGACGAATTTTCGACTTTAATTTCGACGATCGAATTCGACGAATTTGAATTTCGACTTTATGAATTCGATCTAATTTTACTTTGCGAATTCCTTCGAACTCAATTCTCGAAACCTTTATGAAACTCGACGACTTTCGACGAATTTTCGATCGACCTCGATTTGTTCGACTTCGACGAATCTGACTCGAATTTTCGACGAACCTCGACTTTAATCTTTGATTTTCGACAATTTCGACCGACTTTCGACTTCGACGAATCGACGACTTTCGATGACCTTCGACTTTACTTCGATTTAATTTCGATCGACGCCGACTTTTCGATTCGACTTCGACGAATTTCGATCGACGACGACGAATTCGATTTTAATTTCGACGAATTTCTTGATGACGGACGACTTCGACACTTTGATTTCGAATTTCGACGAATTTCGACGACTTTACTTAATTTTAATTCGACGACGATTTCTACTGACTTTGATCCGACCCCTTCGACGAATTCGATTTCGACGACTTTCGACGCCGAATTTTCGAACGAATTTTATTTAATTTCGACGAACTTTTGACGAATTTTATTTCTGACTTTTACGACGAACCTTTGATGAATCGACGACTTTATCTTTACTTTATCTTCATCGAATTTGATGACGAATTATCGATGACTTCGATGACTTTCGATTAATTTTATTTTAGGGAGACTTTTATTTTACTTCGACGAACTTCGATTCGAGACCTTTGATGAATTTTGAGACTTCACGAATTGCTTTATTTCGACCTTTGATTTTACCTTTGACACCTTTACTTTGATTCTTCCTTTTACTTTACCCGGATTTTAATTTCTTTACTCGAATTCTTCGACTTTAATTTTACTTTCTAATCTTCGACGAATTTTCGACTTAATTTGACGACGGTTCGACGTCTTTACTTTAATTCGACTTCGACGACTTCGAACGAACTTTATCCATTGTATCGACGAATCTTCGACTTCATTTTGATCCTTTGACCGGACCGGAATTTCGACGACTTTTGATCGACGACCGAGATCGACTTAATTTTGTTCGACCGTTTCGACACGATTTTGACTCCGACGAAATTTTGACGACTTCTGACTTTAATCTTCTTCTACCTTAACTTTAATTTAATCTTTACCGATTTTACTTACTTGATACCTTTAACCTTAATCTTCGACTTTAATTTTCGATTTTACCTTCGACATTTAATTTTCTTTATGATCTCGATTTCTTAATTTCTTTATTTTTACGACCGATTTAATTTTCGATGAATTTTCTTTGATTTCAATTCTCGATTTTAATTTCGATTTTAATTTTCGATTTTAACTTTCGATGAATTTCTTTATTTACTTTATTTATTTCGCGAATTTTCGATGAATTTCGACAATTTTTCTTTGCATTTTACCTTTCGACTTTCGATTTTAATTTCGATTTTACGATTTAATTTTCGATTTTATCTTTCGATTTAATTTTGATTTCACGACCGATTTAATTTTCGATTTGACGGATTGAATTTCGATGACTTCGATGACTTTCGACGGACCTTCGATGATCTTTGATCGATCGACTTTGATGACTTTCGATGACTTCGATCGATCCTTTCGACTTCGACTTCGATGACGATCGATGAATTCGACGACTTCGATCTTCGACGACTTTACGGATCGACTTCGATTGATTTCGATGAATTTCGACGATCTTCGACGATCTTTCGATTCGACTTTGATCGATCTTTCGACTTTTACTTTCGATGAATTTTGATTTTAATTTCGACGACTTCGATCTTCGACTTCGATCTGATTTCGACGATCTTCCGGACGGACTTCGACGACTTCGATGACGACTTTATCTTCGATCGACTTTCGACGATTGACTTCGACGACCTTCGATGACTTCGATGACGACGATTTCGATGACTATCGATGATTTCGATGACGATGACGATCGACTTTGACGACGATTGACTTTCGATCGACTTCGAGATCGACGAATTTCGATGACTTCGACTGACTTCGACGACTTCGACGACGATCGATGAATGATCTGATGACCTTTGACGAATTCGACGACTCGATGACTTTCGACGAATTTCGACGACGACGATGACTTCGATTGACTTCGACGACTTTCGACGACTTCGATTGATCGACGACTTCGACGATCCTTTCGATTGATTCGACGAATTTCGACGACTCGACGACTTTGACGGACCTTCGATTCGACCTTCGATGACGACTTCGACGACGACGACGACGAATTTCGACGACCTGATGAATCGACGAATTTCGATGACGACCGACGCCGACGATCTGACTTTGATCTTAATTTCGATGACGGATGAATTTCGACGAATTTCGACGACGACGACGACCGAATTTCGACGACGGATGACTTCGACGACGGACGACTTCGATGATCCTCGACGACGATGACGATCGATAACGATTCGACGAATCTTTGACCTTTGATTTTATCTCGACGACTTCGACGAATTTTCGACGACGACGACGACTTCGACTTCTTTATCTTAATTTACTTTAATTGACGAATTTGACTTCGACGACCTTTCGACGAATTTCGACGACCTGATTTGATCCTGACGACTTTTCGACTGACTTTGTCGACGCGACCTTTCGACGAATTCGCGACTTTAATTTCGACGGATCGATGACTTTATTGAATTTTCGATTCGACCTTTGTCGACGACGCTGATACGATCCTCGACGACTTCGACGATCCAATTCGACGAAACTTTATCTTCGACGACCTTCGACGAATTCGACTTCGAAACGACTTTAATCTTCGACGATCTTCACTTTACGACTTCGACGACTTCGATCCTCGACTTCGATCTCGACGAATTTTAATGAATTTTACTTTAATCTTCGACGAATTTCTGACGAATTTTGATTCGACTTTGACGACTTTGATGAATTTGATGACGCTTTCGACGAATTTTATTTAATTTCGACGGAATTTCGACGACGATCGATTTAACGATCTGATTTAACTTTGACTTCAATTTCGACGACTTCGACGACGATTTAATTTTATTTTATCCTCGATGATTCGACGAATTTTGACGACGATTTTAATCTTCGATGAATGATTTCGACGAATTTTGACTTAATTTCGATTTATCTTTATTTCGACTTCGATTTTAATTTCGACGATTTCCTGACGGACGATGACTTTGATTCTTCGATGAATTTCGATTTAATTTCGACGACTTTATTTATGACTTCGATGACGACGGATGACTTTGACTTAATTTTGATGACTTTCGACGAATTTTATTTTAATTTTGACTTTACCGGAATTTTGACTTTAATTTTTGATGACGGATTTTGATTTTGATGAATTTCGATGACGGATGACGCGATGACTCTGAACGATGAATTTCGACGACTTTATTTTACTTGATGACTTTTGATTTTACGACGAATTTCGATTTAACTTTTGACGACTTTGATGACGGATTGAAATGACGATGACGATGACGGATAATTTTCGGATGAATTTTCGATGACTTTAGCCGATTTCCGGACGAGCCTTTATTTAATTTCGATGAGCCTTGACGATACCTGGTTTCGATTTAATTTTATTTAATTTTCGATGACGGATGACTTCTGAACTTAATCTCGGATGATGACGCATTTAATTTCGACGAAATTTGATTTTATTCGATTAATTTTATTTTACCTCGGATTTGATCCTGAGGATGATGCGATTTTGATTAATTTTATTTCGACGCGATTTTCGATTTACCTTTGACGAATTTTCTGGATTTAATTTGATTCGATCTTGATTGACTTTCGATCGACCGACGATGACGCCGATCGCGACGACTTTCGATCGACTTCGATTGATCTTTGATCGACCTTCGACGACCTTCGACTGACTTTGACTTTACCTTTCGACCTTCGACGAATTTGACCGACTTCGACTTTAACGGACTTTATCTCGACCGAACCAATTGACCTCGACCTTTAATCGACGAATCCGATCTCGACGAATTCGACCTTCGACCGACTTCGACTTCGACGACCTCGACTTCGACGACCTTCGACGACTTCGATGATGCCGACTTTTCGACTTCGACTTTTCGACTTCGATTGATTTCGACGATTTCGATCGACTTTCGACCGAATTTCGACGACTTCGACGACGACTTCGATGACCTGATGACTTTCGACGACTTTTCGATGATCTTTCGACTTTACTTTACGATCGATTGAATTTTGATTTAATTTCGACGAATTTCGACGACTTCGACACTTTGATGACCTCGATTTAATTTTATTTAATCTTTGATTTAATTTCGACTTTAATCTTCGACGACCTTTGATTTTAATCTTCGACTTTATCCTTCGACTTAATTTCGACGAATTTCGACTTTAACCTTTGACCTTCGACGACTTCGACGAATTCGACGACCTCGACGAATTCGACGACTTCGACGATCTTCGACGACTTCGACGACTTTATCCTTCGACGACGACGTGAATTTCGACGAATCTTCGACGAAGACTCGACGACCTGATCGAATTTTGACGACTTCGATGACTTCGACGACCTTCGACGACCGACGACATCGACGATCTCGATGACTTCGACTTCGACGACTTTGAAATTCGACGACTTCGACGACTTCGACGACGGACGACTTTCGACGACTTCGAAATTGACGAATTTCGATTCGACCTTCGATTAATTTGACGAATTTCTTTGATGACGATCGATAATGACGGATGAATCCTTTGACTTAATTTTCGACGACTTCGAGACTTCAATTTCGACGAATTTCGCGACGACGACGACTTCGATGAATTTCGATCGACTTTCGATGACTTCGATTGACGGACGAATTTCGACGATCCTCGACGATCTTTGAATTTCGACGACTTCGACGATTTCGACGACCTTCGATTGACCCCGACTTTGAAACGGACTTCGACGACTTCGATTAGACGGACGAATTCACTTTATCTTCGACGAATTTTAATTTTAATTTCTTTTGATGACGACCGGATGAATGATCTGACGAATTTTGATCGAATTTCGACGACCTGATTGAATTTCGACGAATTTCGACGACGACGACGACCGACGAATTTCGACGAATTTCGACGACCTTCGACGATCGGACGATCTCGATGAATTTTAACGAATTTTACTTAACGACCGACGTAACGATCTTTGACCTATAACTTTAATTTTAATCTCGACGAATTTCGACGACCTTTACTTTAACCTTAATTTAATTTTATCTGACTTCATCGACTTTATCCTGACCTTCCACCTCTATCCATCCCTGATTTCACTTTCCACCTCGACCTTCAATTTTCGACCTTTAATTCTCGACTTTGAACCCTTCACCAATTTTACTCTTCTGACCTCGACTTTACCGAATCTCGGTCCACCTCGAACCTCGACGACCTTTCACTTCGAAGTTCCTTTGATTTATCCTTTCGGTTTCGAAACCGCTCACCTCTCTAGTCTCACGTCTCTACTCTGTAACTCTCTACTCTGTACCTCTCTATTCTGTACCTCTCTACTCTGTACCTCTCTACTCTGTACCACTCTACTCCGTACCTCTCTACTCCGCACTTATCTACCCCGCTCATGTTTGCACTGTACCTTTGTTATCCGAACCTATCCACACCGTAAGTTCTACTCTGTACGTTTCTGTTTCTGAGATCTCTTTTCACCTCTATACTCCGTACTCCTACCCCTACGTACTCCAAGGACTATTCTCCCACGGTTCCTCAGTGCCATGAAACGTATGCCACGCTAAATATGACATGAAAGTAACCCATTTGGGATCCTGTCCCTGGGAACGTTGATAAACGGCTTAAAGGAAGAGTGGATTATGTAACGTTCGTTGTTTCGTATTTCCACATGCTTCACACAAGTATTCAACTGTGGAAACGGCATGCCATTCTCAGCACCTTAACTAGGTTGTAGTACGAACAGACCTAAGCCAAGGTCAGTGATTTGAATATATATCTGTGTTTATAGCCCAGACCTTGGCAGCAAAGACAGCACAGCGATAACGAAGAAAGTGAACAAGAGCTATTGGAGGAGTACTCACAAGTAGTCAAAGCCTGGCAGTGAAAATAATCTCCAATCTTCGGAATATAAACAAACTTCAGTTCTTCAACGTAAACAAAATCTTCCTCCAATATTTCCTCGTCACCCAGGAATCACGTGCTGGTCAGTGGTAAGCTAGGCTCGCGACGCCAGTTCTTGCAATAGGCAATGTATATTGGAAGTGAGTATCATTTACCAGTCTGCTCAATAACAAACACAGTGTGACCACGCTTCGGCAACAGGGCGGGTGCTGGTAATCACAGCGCCATCTGGAATCGTTTGGGCTGTATGGAGAATGCGGTCGCTTACTTTATCAAGGATTTCAGGGAGAAATGCGTGTTCGGTTACACTTCCCTCCCCTCCCCGACCCTCTTCAGTGAAACGCCTGACTGAGATAGGCCAAACAGGCTTCATTCCATTGATGGAATTTCCAGCGTGAAAAAGTTCCTGCCCTTGTTGAATGAAATCCGAATAAAAGAATGATACAATATTTAGAGTAAAGAGTCTCTGTTTGTTTCGTATTTAGGTCATAGTTGTTCCTGTTATTTGTTTATGGACGAGGGTGAATGTTTATTTCTTCTTCTATGACGTCATAACGGGCGCCATTTTGGGTGCTGGTGCAATTTGAAACTGTGTGTGAGGGCACATGTACTTTTCAATACGTATTCTGTGATATATGAGTTTCCACGAACCGTATTATTTTCCTTCCGCTCAGTCATTGCTGCAACGCTATAAATGAAGCATTGTTATATTTTCCACCAATTCAACAAGCACTTTTGGAAATTAAATGTCGTTGTATTTGTGAAATAGTTTTGGTAATATTTAAACAGATTTTGTTTTAGTAGGAATGTTTTAACATGCAAGTGAGTGAGTGAGTGAGTGAGTGAGTGAGTGAGTTTAGCTTTACACCCTTTTTGGTGAATATTCCAGCAATATGACAGCGGGGGACACCAGAAATATTCTTCACACACTGTACCCATGTGTGGAATCGACCCCGGGTCTTCGGCGTGACGTAAATGTTCTTTTCGAACAAGATCTAAACCTTTCTAACCTTAGATTGTAAATGAATACATAATCCACTTTATCAAAGAGGTCAGATGTAACCTTACAGTTTTAAACAAATCGGCAGGTATCGACAAGATTTAATTGCGGTGTTCCCCGACAGTTCCTTTGATTTGTTTATACCTTATTTGGAAATTATACTAGTATTCAATGGGTCCCTCTTATTGGATTCGGGGCGGTGGGGTAGCCTAGTGGTTAAAGCGTTGGCTCGTCACGCCGAAGACCCGGGTTCGATTCCCCACATGGGCACAATGTGTGAAGCCCATTTCTGGTGTCCCCCGCCGTGATATTGCTGGAATATTGCTAAAAGCGGCGTAAAACTAAACTCAGTCAGTCAGTCTTATTGGATTCTGCATACTTCCCCGAATTATTAGTGATTCAAAGGTATTTATCAAAGAAATTGGGAGAGGATAGACTAACAACTAGTCTCTGAAATGAACATATTTTACAGAAAAAAGGCTCATAGTGAAAAAATCCAAAATATAATAAAAAAGGAGCCCTGAGACTTTCTTTATTTTCCTGAAGCTGTGGAAATCTATACTTGCCACATTTTCTAGACTTGCGTTGGATTTCTTGGATACATTCGCTTCAGGGTCTGTATGACAGACTAGGGAAAGGATTGTGCTCTATTTGTAGTTTTTTTCAAAGGTTTTAATCTACTTAACAAGTCAAATTATGGACGGTTGTGAAAAGAGAGAAATGTTAAACGGAGTACAAGCTATATGCATTCGAGTAGGTCCATGTGTTAATTTTGATGTATTCGGATATATATGACTGTGATTTGAGTGTACGACAGGGTTGTGTCCTTAGCCCATGTCTCTTCCTATCGTTATCAATAAATTAGCAAAGGAAATTGATCCACATGTAACACTGGTCTCCAGTTTCACCAAGAGATGTCTCAACTGTTTATATTATAAGTTGGTTTTGAGTAAACTTACAGTCAAATTCCTTCATTGTTTCCTTTTTCTTTTCAAAACAATTCCATTTTTGAGGGCATTATCATTTGCAGAAGCCCTATGTCTTCCATTAACTGCGTGACGAAGGAGGGCGTTTGAAAAAGACCGAGGGCTTCTGCAAATGATAATGCCCTCAAAAATGGAATTGTTTTGAAAAGAAAAAGGAAACAATGAAGGAATTTGACTGTAAGTTTACTCAAAACCAACTTCTGACGGGGTTGACTGACTGAATGCAATTACGTCATCGAACAATTCAAGTGACGTCACAACAGAACGTGACGATATTCGACCTTGGCCTTTGACAAGACCATGGCCTGCAACACGTCAAACTATGTCAGACACAAGGTCAGTTTTCATTCTTCGGTTTTGGTCGAACAACAACGTTAATAGTGCAATTGTGAAGGTTAGCACCAGCAAGAAAGCCAATATTACCGCTAAAGCTGGAATTCGGGTTGCTTTGACTTGTTTACCCCAGAATATCTGCCAGTCTAAAGCCAAAGTCGAATGAACCGTAAGCCCACGCACCCACTATGACAACAGAACTGATAGTGGCCCGTCGTAAAGGTTGAGCGGTCCAATATCATATAAATTTCTGATAATAGGAGGGCCGTTTCATGATAATTCAATGTATTTTAGCTATAATATTGTTTGCAGACGATGGCATTTTGATATCTGATACAGTCTTTTGTCTGCAGAAAATGAATATGCATTTTAGAAACATATTGCAATATTGAGTGAGTGAGTTTATTTTTACGCCGCTTTTAGCATTATTCCAGCAATGTCACGCGTGGACACCATAAATGGGCTCATACATTGCACCCATGTGGAAAATCGAACCCGGATCTTCGGCCTGACGAGAGAACGCTTTAACCACTGGGCTATCCCACCGCCCCCATATTGTAATAACTACAAGCTAGCAGTTAATTTGGATAAGACTGAAATGGTTGTTTTCAAGAATATGGGTATTTTCTCGAGAAGTAAAATGATATTGTGGAAGTAAATGTCTCGAGTGCGTGCTATTCTATAAGTATTTTGGTATTACTTTTACTAAACCATTATCGTGGGATAAGCAAAGCACAAGTGCAACTTCTCAGGCTTGAAAGGTTCCGTTGGGCATATTAAGGATATTACATATGATATGTTTAACCCAATTCCGATTGATTTTTTTCTTCAGGACTTTTGAATACTATAATTATGCCTATTTTACTATATTTTGGGGTCAGTGTAACTAATATAAAGGGGGATGAGTGAGCGTGGTTTTACGCCGCTTCTAGCAATATTCCAGCAACATCACGACAGGGGTACACCAGAAATGGGCTTCACACATTGTACTCATGTGGGGTATCGTACCCGTACACAGGACCAAATGCCGGATTGTACACCATTGAAATACACGTAAATACAATAGAAAATACATGCTATGACCGGATTTACGTATGTTTCCATATATTTCCTAACTTCGGGCGTATATTTCATACAAAGCTATACATTTTCGTATGCACAAGCATTTCGTTCATGTATGCCCTGACCGGATTATCAGCTATTTCCAAACATGAATTGCAAAACAGATACCCCAGTAAATACATGATCATACAGTATTTCCGATGCATTCCTTTGAATTTAAATGGGTTCTGAAATTTCCGATTTCGTTCTGAGTTTACTCGGGTTGGAAACATGTAAATTTACTTAGGTGTGGAAACACATGTAAATTTGCAAATTTGTAAATGCTCACACACCTTAGACATTTATGTATAATACCGGATTTCAGGGGTATGTATATGGTCGATTCATACATCTTAATGTTACCTGTGCTCAAGCAAGATAATCATATGTTTCCTTCATGTGAATTACTTGGTTCATGTAATTTAATTTTCACACATTTTAGTACGTTTGAAATCAACGTTCACATGGCCTCATTATTCTTATCACCAAAAGAGCCTGACAAAGAAAGCAGTATTACGCAAGCTAAGACGCCTTATTAAGCTGCACTCGCTCTTGCTACCAGTATCAGTTACGCCTTGTCTGCGGTGTTGGCAAATCTTGTGAGGTGCTTGTTTCGAGGGATTGAAAGGTTCAGTGGTGAACAAAGGGCGATGAGCTGGCCCTTCGTCCTCGCAAGCGTCCCTAGCTGTCCCAATAGAACAGCACTTTATTTCTCTTGGAGCACAGCCACATACGCTACACGAACCAACTTGTAATTTCTTAAGTCCGTTCAGCTCGCGCATCACTACTGTAAAATATTCAGTGGCAGTACATAATTGGAATATTATTGCACTGCATGTGCCCTTTCTTAATAGTCTCAAAGTCTCCTCCCGCTCAGCCTTTGCTGTAATAACGCCATACATGAACTTTAATGTTGTCCACATTTGTTTCACTAACGCAAAGGTATACGATAACAAACAATGTCATATCAAATTATATATTCTGTGAGACATGAAATTAAGAATGGTTTTATCGTGTAGGGATTATGACCGGATAGCACAGGCGGGTGCGTTCTCTGAGTATACCATAGGCATCGTGGACCACCGTTCCTTTTGTGAAATTCGTCTTGATTGTCCTGTTTAAATTGACGATCCATAAACTCATATTGCGAAAGCAAATGTACACAAGTAAATGTGATATTGCATTGCTGTAATATTCCCCGTCGGGGAAGTCCTTCTCACAGGATATATATTCCGTTGTTGGAGCAGGCCTAAGACTATTATGCCCCAGTGTTGCTAAATATCTTGTAGACCTTTAGCCTGACAACGACGCAGACATCGCATGTTCAAGTTCGGATCTGATAGGTGCCGAAAATATTGATTCCGACATAAATGCAATATCTCAGTAGGTCATTGTTTTCCTAAGTAAGTGGAGTGCTTTCTACAACATTGGAGATACTTGTATCGTTGTTCATCTGATATTCCCCCGAACGGAAACCCTACCCATTTAGTGTACAATGTGTTTGTTACAGAATTACAGGGAATAGACTTTTCTACTTTGACCAGGATTCTCCGAACTTGTAACAGTCCTTTGAGAAGATCAAGATAGAAAGGGATAGTGCACGATGTATCTAACGGAGGTATATGGAGAAAGTTCGAAAAATGTTAATGCATAAATACAATAATAGAAATACCGGTTATCTTTAAAAAGTACCCCCATTCTGATAGCCAGAGAGATTATTGTGAAAGATCACAATATGTATCATCATAAACGGGCCAAGATAAAAGTACATGTCATTCATCCCCACATTACATCCCTTTTATAGACATTACATCGTTGTTACAGGGAAACACTTTCTGCTGTAGGCATCTGCCGGTTTCACGCTACATACATTCTTT